TAACTTGACGCTGTCTAAAATGCTAGTAAATAGATATCGATTACGTTGCCATTATGGGACTCGACGGTCACCGTTACTGCAAGTGGCATACTTTGATACACCGTTACTTACAGGGCTGACGAGGGCTTATACTAAAACTAGATTAATATGTGTGTATATTAATAAAATACATATATCAATGTGTGACTGTAATTTTAAATCTTCCGAGTTTTTACGCTTCCTTTGTATACGCAATTCCTATTATATTAATTTAATAATATTCTAAATTAAAATTAAGATTTAGCTCTTATTTATATAATTATATATATTTATATGTATGTATATGTATTTAAATGTAACTAGTCTGATGAGACTACTACCAATTATAAAGTGATTAAAAAACAGAGACTACCGGTGTCCTCCTTTGTATAATACATTATATCATTAAAAAATAATAAAAGTTGCGTTTTTATGGATTTATTGCAATTGCAATTTAAAGTTAATAATAAATTAATTATTAACTTTAAATATTGCACCTACTATATTCTCTTCATTTATGCCTAACAAATTAAACATTTGACTGATGAATGACTTGGACAACACACAGACACAATATATCTCCTTTAAATAAATAATAATAATAAATAAATTCTTCAACCTCGTTTAAAAAAAATATTTCATAGAAGGAATCGTGTTCGCTTGAAGAGAAACGGATGTTATAAACCTACTTTATTTTATAAAGTAGGTTTATAACTGACCCCAAAAAAACCGAAGATCTGTTTTATATGTCATCAGTATCTTCGGTAATTGCGGACAAATTTTTAAAGTACCTATAATACTTTATTTTGTTCCGAAGAGAATTCTCAGCCTGTAATCCCACAGTTACTAAGTATGTGATAAAGCGATCCCAGGGTAAGTGAGTAGTATGTATTTGAAATTGGATAATTTACTCAGATATTTGTATCATAAAATTATTATTTTCGTGTTTAACAGTCGTATAATTAATAACAAATAATATTATTGATTAAGAACCTTATTATACAGTATAATAAGGTTCTTAATAATTATACGACTTCTTATTAATTATACGACTGTTAAACACGAAAATAATAATTTAATAACATTCAAATTATTCATTACTATTAATAATCGACACTCCATTTTTCCAATTTTTAATCTATTTTATCGGTACATACATATACGGTATACGGTGATCGCCAGCCCTGCGCTTACGCACGTTGTTAGTTTGGTGCGAAGCGGTCCGCCTCAATGGCTCTCGTAGTAGAAGCCGTTCCAGATTTATCTATTTGGTATTACAAACGGCACGTGTTACTGTTTATATAAAATGTGCACTATATTGTAGTTTTTGTACGTACATATTTTAATCATTTCAATATTAATAGAAAGTTTACTGTTATGCTATACTCGTGTATATTTTTTCTGAAACTCCGATACTACTTCAATTGTCTTTATTTTTATTTCGCTGTTGTTATTTATTTCATATTCACGTCATGTACAGTGAGCTTATTTCAGACGGCTTTCATAATGTCATTAGATAGTTACACGGTTTAGAATCAAATATACATAGATACATGTAAAAAGAAATGAAAAATATGTCTTTCTTTTTCAATGTTTCTTACCTACTTATCAAATAAGCAGATCGTAGCATTTTGCAAACGACAAATCTAAAAACAACGATAAATATTTCCTAGAAACCGTAAAAAGTACATAAAAATGGCTCCAATGTAGGCCACAACGTGCCGTCTCAAAAGTACAATGGACGCACGTTTTGTTTGAACCACTCTCGCTTTCGCTGGACACAACGTGCGCGCGAGTATTTCGCTACACCTGCCGTGCGTTGTACTTACTAAAACTTCAAGAGTGCCCTTTGGCCTTCCTTTATTCAAACTACATATTCTGACGGCCTCGGTGGTCTAGCGGTGTAGCACACCGCCTTAGTTCCGATGGTCGCGGGGACGATTCCTCGCACGACACAAACATTTGTATTCATGAGCATGATTGTTTGTATCACTTCGGGTATTTTCTTTGTATATATGGCGATTATCTTCCATACCAATAAAAGGTATACCTACTTAACTATATTATTATTAGTATTGTAACTGTATTATTATAGAGACTTATGATAATTTCTAGATTATTATTGTTGTGTATCAAAACTCGCGTAATCGTAACCGCATTGTACAGATATTTATGTACACTGAGATTTCCGCGTCGCAAATTGATGCATCTCTCATAAAGTTCGAGTAGCCGTTTCCTTGGTCGTTCCAGTCCACCGCCGTCACTTTCCATTTCGCTAGTATTCGGGAGTTTTTGCCGCCATACCACTGACAAACTGACATACATTGTACATCACTCACGTCGCATAACTTTTTATTTACCTATACAAAATACGGTATACGAGTCGTGAAATTAATTTATTCACTGCCTTAATGAGAGTTAAACATTTTTACTAATTTTAGCATAAAGTTGTACATTTATGCTTTTTAATGCGTTATGACAAATAACGTTTGTCCCTGTTTACGATTTAAATATTGTAAGCCGTTAAGGAATTAATATAAAAAGGGTTTTTTTTGATGATGAGTGATTTTAACTAGTTATTATGACCCTGGCAGAGTACTAGTAAAAGATAAGAATAAAATCATCGAAATGAATTAAATAGTATAGAATTTATACAACACATACAACAATATTGAAATAAAAAAACAAACAACAATTGGAATACAGAGTCTGAAGACCACATCTCAGCTGCTAGTCCTGGAAATATGGTTTCCAGTGCTGATTTCCTAATGGGGTCGGTACATACGAATCTGCTGTTACATTCTACAGTTTCTAAGATGACCGCGAGTGGAAGTCAGCGTTACAGCATATTTAGCTTGTATTTGGCTTAATAGATTACTAACAATGCCATACCATCTGCTAAGACCATTATCGATCTGTTGTAAAGGTGTAAGCTTTCTCTAGAAAATGCATTACTCATTATTCTGGTGTTGTGTCATTCGTGTATATCATATATATTACAGTCTGCGCCTTATAGAGGTAATAGAGCTATAATTAACACAAATTTTATAGTTTTTGTGACACGATTCATTACTTTTTACATTACACTGGATGTACAGGTTTTATGAATGCAGTTTTTATGAGTTACCGTCGTACACTTATGAAATACTATAGTTGGTCAGAAAACGGCCTTAATGTGCACAACGCTGAAAATAATTTGATATATCAGATGAATGTAATTATGTTAAGTCGAAGTATCTACCATAGTCATATTATAAGTTAACAAATCTCTGTATGTCGAACTTGTATTTCATTTTTATGTAATACATTTATTCTAATTCTGTTGGCCGCAACTAGCCTTTATAGGTTCATTGGACACTGGTGAGGACATTTCAAACGTGCGGAAGAAGTTATGAAGCGACTGAAAGAGCAAATCTTGAGGCAGACTTTCCACAGATAAAGTCATAATTCGAGGCTAATGTTTCTATTAATGTTTGAAGATTGTGTGGCGTTTTACTTGCAGCATGCTGCTTCTTTAGCTCTGCTCGCTGTTCTGTGTATTAATTATGTAACTATAACATTACATTCGTATAATTCAGGTCAGTCTTTAGACTACATTAAAAATAAAGAAAATAATTTGAGGTCAATACTACAGAACTTACATCAATCACCGTAGTTATCTGTCAGACAAGATCATAACGGTTACTCGAATTATCGACGTGTGAAGTCGTCACTTGGAATGATGGCTCGAATTGGATGAAATTGGTTGCAAATTCATAATGCACGCTGCCTGAAATAGCGGCGATGTTATTCATTAAATAAATAAATAAGTTTGAGTAAACCCTAATCCCAAACTAAACAGCTCAGTGGCAACAGGGCATTAACCTGCCCTGGTGATAGTTGTTCAGACAAGGGATTTTCAATATTTTAAGTATGTTAGACATTTCACTACTTGACCGCTATGTTATTCTTTTTAAATGATTGTATCTGAATAAAAACTAATAATAATATAAAAAATGCACCCAAAATGTGTATATTGAGTTTGCTAGTTCGTCCCAAGTGTAGCTGTTGTTAAAAAAAATTACAGCATAAACGGCCCAATATGAATAAATAGTGTAGCTTATATGAATAATTGTTTTTTTTATTTGTCTATATGAATTGGACCACTGAAACATTTCAACAGCCAAACAATATAAGCAGATACAAAATAATTAAAGAACCTGCAACTATCTGAATACAAAGTGTAGTGTTAAACAGCTAGACCACAAATAGACATCGCTTTTTGAAAGTATTGTAATTTACGGGGAAAATATATGTAATGATAACAAGTGGAGTCACGTATAGAAATCAATTTTTGATCTGATTGAACTAGAAAATGTTATCGCTATGTCATAGAAATCCCGTTTTCAAACCAGATAAAAACTCGATGACTTGTTTATTGCATTACTTCTGATGTGTACACACATAGAACACACACATTTACACGTTATTTTAATCTTTGTTCCATTATTTTCATAAAGATTCACAACTGTCGCATAGAGACAGGCGTCTGGCTGTTGCAATTTAAAATTGAGTTAAATTTAAAGAAACTTGAATTAGAATTTCTTAACCTAACTCATAGTTATTATAATATATCTATAGACTTTAGTTATTGTATATGTACGTTCACTCTGGATTTAGAGTAATATAATTATATTTTGTTGCAGAAACCGAAACACCGAAAAACCGAATAAGAGCTGACAATATGTGTTTGGTGGTGTAATACCTATTAAGTTATGATATTCGGCATAAAATAATTTTTAATTTAGCCAACCATTTCTTTTAAAATGGATACATATGTCGGATATAAAATCTAATACGCACTAAGTATAAGTTAAAACAAAATCAAGTAGTTTTCGAATCTATGTAGGTAATTTGTTTTTTTGAAATAATATAATATTAGAGAGCTACCCTGTGCAATCAGGTAACTACAGAATCTTCTAAATATAGACCTTTCATTTCAGTATTAAACGTGGCAGCGGGAAAAGCTCCAATGCAAGTGTCCACGGACGAGGGTGGGGTTCCTCAGAGGGCGCTGGACGGCAGCACGGCTTCCTCGTTCAACGCAGACACGTGCACTCTCACCAAGCCGGAAAGAGTTCCGTGGTGGTACGTCAACCTGCTCGAACCCTACATGGTGCAACTTGTGAGGCTTGACTTCGGGAAACCTTGTTGTGGTAAGTATTAATACTATTTTTGAACACTGCCAAAATTTATTTAATACATCCTATCATTATCAATCAATCTAAAAAATAGTTTATATAATATCAAAGTAAGAAAACGTGAGCTGACTCTAAAAAATAGTGCTAGTTGTAAGTTTGTATGCATTAATTCCAACTTAAAAATGAAAAATTACAACTATATTATTTAAAAAAGCAACACGCAAGTTTCTCTCTCGTTCTTCTTGGGATGATATGGCTTTCCGAATGAGCGGTATTTAAAAAAAGTGATGACTATTTAAAACTGCTTCAATTAAAGTTTATTTGAATAAAAATTTTCTTTTCTATTTATTTAACTGGAATGGCAAGTAAAACAACTCACCCTAAATAAGTAAATGATTACTGTAGGCTAGATACATGAACAGCACCGCGAACATCGCATCGTTATATGATACCCGTGACACCCATCATGCGTTAACATTCCCTAGAACCAAGGAGCCATGCCTTCGTAGCTTGTAAAATGATGATAAAACAAGAATAAAGTTTAGTTATTTTACAATTTATTTGCTCAGCATAAAGATGACATTGAATAGTAATTTCAACTTTGAAAGTCCACCTTTCTTTTGTCTAATATACGTACATGCATTTTTTATCATAACTCATTGTATGTATGTAAAATAGAGACAACAAACATTTTTAGACATGTACTTATTATACATAAAAAAATGCGAATATTTGTATGGAGATGCAAAATATTCATTTATTAAAATTTGCATCCACCTCTACCCTATTGGCACAGTGGTGACACATTTTAGAAAATAAACGATGATTTCTACGGTTTCACTGGTGTATTACTCACTGCGGAAGAAAGGAAGGACTATTTATGTATTTTTGTACTAAAATACCGCTAAATGTACCATTCAGATCGAAACATCATCTCATACATACAGAAATTACATCCAAAATAGACGAAACCGTGATACATAGAGCAGCCATATATGTATCACGGTTCAGCATTCCTTGGAGTTTGATTCTCGTCTCAGACCAGTTTATATTATTTTCAGATATAATATGATAAAACATTTTGAATTCTATAAATTTATATACTATGTGTAGATGCTGATGAATACTCTACCTACTCTACATATAGTATAAAAATTTATAGAATTCAAAATGTTTTATCATATTATATCTGAAAATAATATAAACTGGTCTGAGACGAGGATCAAACTCCAAGGAATGCTCTCAGACTATAGTCATAAGTTCTTTCGCTAGTTTAGATTGCTGTGACTGTCATTAGAATAGTTATAATTTCTTTCAAAATTTAATCAGAGGCCTAAAATCTGGGGCATTGTTTGACCAGTATATTCGAATACCGGTCGGTTATATAGCGAGGCAATACCAGCAGTACTAACGTCTATTTAGTATATCACCAGTATATCCGAGTCCCAGTGTTTATAATTTTGTGATTTTTATGTAATTATTAATATAATATACGAGTATATACTTACCTTATATAATTTCAACTGGTGAAATTTTTTTTCTCATAACAAGTCCGGTCCCTTACTATGTAATATTAGTACCTCAACTAATATTACATATGCGAAGTGAGTTTGCATGTTATGCTTTCACACTTTAACCAATCAGCGGGAAATTTCTTATCCTCGTCAATCAAGGTCACGCGGGCTAAGTCACGTGCACAAACTAGTGTTTTGTAAATGAGACTGTGGTGCGGTAGAGATTACAACCTACATGCAGTAGTTAATAAGCTTAAGGCATCTACATGCAGGTCAAGCGGGACAACCTTTGACCTCCAATGAAACTCTCCAGGCAAAATAGAAATTTAGAAATCTGGTACTAAGAAGCTATCTTACTGGATTTTGCTTATTATCCTTTGATATATGATAATTAATGAAAAATGTAGTGCCAATCCAATACTACAATATGAAATAAAGCTTGTACTAGGAATAATAAATGCTTGTGTTGGCACTGAAAATGAATTTAACTATTTGAAATTATCCAAAATATGCATAATAATTACTCAGGCTAATTCAAACAATTATACAAACATTAATTAGCATCGTGTGAGAATCGAACCCGCGATGAATGGATCATCGTGATAGTCATTTACGTATTAGACTCTACTGTCAATGATATATTTGAATCTAACGACGTATTAGTATATAATCCTCATCATTATCAGCTCTCTGCGGTCCACTGCTGGACATAGGCTTCTTCGTTAGTATATAATATGTTACAAATATTTGGACCAATATAGGTAGTACATGCTCCAGTGGGTAATTAGATCGTTGGACCGGCTCATCAAGATCAATATTATCGCCCAGTGCACTGTAACGAGTTGATGGGTGCGAGGTAAATTGGATTACATTATGTGCTCAGTTGTTGAGTTTTTAATTATGTGTCAAATTAACACACATAATTATAAGAATTATGTTTTGATCTACATGAAAAATGTGTAAATATAGTGTTAATGGAATACACAAGTTAGAGAATTTTTCAGGAGTTACATACACAATTTCCTTAAGTAATGTAAGGAACTCACTCTCAAAACTTTACATAGCACATTATTCATAAAGTAATCAGAGGTAGACGATGTACAAAGTGACCTCTAGCTCAATTGTTTCTGCAGCCAAGCAAGTTGCATCGTAAGAGGTGTTCTGTTAAAGGGTTATATTACAGTATACGGAGGCATAACGTTTAGTAATCGTGAATGAGAACACAAGGGGTATCACATGGTGACGTGATACGTGACACTATTCTTTTATGATTAGTCAGCATCTTTGTCTTTCCAGTTACACATAAAATAATTACCTGATTAACACACTCTAACTATTTTGATATTTCTTAAAAATATTATCTTTAATTTGAGAAAACTGAAAATACACTGTAATAATTAAATTAGATCCATTTATTGTTATTGTTGTTTGTAAGAGCTTTGTTTTTATTAATAATGCAATTTATTTTCCTAGTAAGTACTTATTTAATCAGTAAGAAAACAATTCTCAAAATATCTAAGTATAGTTGCGTGCGCCAAAGTCGCCGAAAATATCTGGTTGCAAACATTTCCGCTTGCCCAAAAATATTTGTAATGACACGTTCACACGATTACTTAAGAAAATAAAAACCGCTGTTTAAATATAAAACGAGTAATTCCAAAATAATAGCAGCCTAATGCACACAAGTCAAACAGACCGTGGACTATTGAGAATGAGAACGTTGGCATTATGAAAAGAAAGTGACTGCTATAATGTAGATACTCATGGTGACAATATTACAGATTGTCACAAAGATGACGCCCCGCTGTTTAGACTCACAACTTTGTTGTAGGTATAGCTTTATCTTAATTAACCAATCAAATCGTCACACAGCGTTTCCATACTTACTAGTATTCTTTGGAAAAAGTACCAATGTAGGTATATGGTATACTAGGTAATACGATAAAGTCTATGACGTTCATATGGAGCTATTAATACAATGCTGGAAAAACTTCAGGATTTTACTCCAGATTCACTGTTCTTACTGATATGATGTGGTGTTTCGCTCACTTGGCTCTTACCAAATCCAGTATAGTAATACATATAGATTCAATAAGTAATATTAGGTACTCTGAGTTACCATATGCATTACAGTGCTCCTATAATATTCATAGTGAGGTTCAGGGCGACAATTGCCACTTCCCAACTGGTAGACCGTCAACTCTAAACGGTCCAGTGAAGCGCTGTGACTTTCTATCTTAATGTAATCATTTTAAACCATAATAATTAGTTATTCTTATAATTTATTAAATAGTGGGACGGCGACTTAAGCGTAGAGAACTATCTAAAAAAATTGTAATTAGTAATAGTTCTTATGGCAAAAGTAAAATAATACCTATGCTGTTTAAGAATATAAAACCCCAGCGCCATATTATATTAAACATTGACTTTTCATAAGCCACTAGGATAAGATCAATGTATAATATAATATATAGATATGAGACACGTAAGTAGATGGTACCTAGCTACTTATCATCAGATGGGAAATCTACTTGTTGTCAATTACATAAAAAAAGCAAATAGTTTTGTCGTTACACCTGTTCAAGTGAAACGTGCTGCTTACTGTAATAACAGTTTATATATTAAGTACCTATTCGGTCTATTATGTACAGACATGCACCACATATATTTATGTTATGTAAGATTATGTAAGTCATTGTCCATTACAACGTATGTACTCCTACACTGCTATTCAATTCGACATAGATATTTTACGCTTAAAAATAAAAAACAAAACTATTGTCTCTTTATTGAATATAGCAGCGTTAATTTGTGATGATGATAGGACAAATTAATTTTGTGGCAGTACTAAGTATACTCTGATTATAGTTAGAATGTTGATGTCTTCAGAAGCGGCGTGCTATGTGTAAAACGAGTTAAATATAAATATAAGCGCTGCCGGTTGTACACTTCCTAATCATTAAAAATTTTTGCATGATGCGTTAATTAAACCATTTATAAAATTACGTTGAATCTTTAGTAACTTCATCCCTTGGTACATAAATTCTTTATGCATTTATACTTCATTCATCTGAATGTGATAATTGTCTCCAATAAAATATAAAAATAGTATGCTGAAAACACTCATGGGCATTATCTCTCGAAATAAAGACTCTACCGAACCAATTTTTGTCAAAAATGGTAGTTAGATTGGTATTTTTACATCTAGATGTTGACACAATATTCTATGTATTGTAACCTACTGCATCTAATAATAACATACAATTAAAAACATTTTACACTTATTAATATTGTATATTTTTAAAATAGGTAATTAATATGCTAAACAAGCTAATGGTTAACGGTAAAATAAACATATCCACTGATATCTTGTCAATATGTACTGCCGGTGCATAGTCATACTGGAGGACTACGAAGTCTCTATACCCTGTAATTTCACTGCCTTACCTCACCATTCAACCGAAACACATCTCAAGTAATCTTGGCGGAGTGATAGGATGAGACACAGGTGCCCACATGAATGACATTGTACAAAAAACTATGTTGGTTATTTTTGTTCTCTAAAAATGATTGGCCACAAGATAACTGGTGTGATGTTCTTATGTTTATTTATTTAATTATATTTGTTATTTATAGGAGCAAACAAACCCGCTGTGATCACAGTTAGAGTGGGCAATAATCGTCCGGACCTGGGCACCAATCCCATCTGTAATCGGTTCACCGGATTCCTCGAGGAAGGCCAACCTCTCTTCCTACCATGTAATCCTCCTATGCCGGGCGCATTCGTCAGCGTGCACCTAGAAGCCTCCACACCTTCACAGCTATCAATATGCGAAGCTTTTGTTTACACGGATCAAGCGTTACCGATCGAGAGGTGCCCCCAGATCAGAGATCAACCGCCTGGCAGCACGGCGACGTATAATGGAAAATGTTATATATTTTACGACAGACAACCAGCGAACTTCAGGGACGCTCTCGGCTTCTGCAATTCACGAAATGGCACATTGATTGATGAGAGCAATCCAGCGCTTCAAGGATTCATAAGTTGGGAGCTATGGCGACGCCATCGGTGAGTGGAATTTTAATATATATAATTAATTTGTACGTGTCTTTAACTTTTGTTGGACTGATTTGGATGAAATGAAAATTGAATCTAGATATTTGCGGGTATCTGTATATCTTTATTGCAATATATTTTTATTAATAATGTAGTGAAGGGTACGCTGTTAACATTTTTGGAAATGATAACATTTCTATAATTATTTTCTTTAACTTCCATGCGCACTATATATTTTCAACATTGGCGATTGACGATATTGTGTTGAGGACATTTTATAATAGCAACAATCACCAGCTGCTGATTGTTACACTAATCTAATGGTGATCGATCAATTGAAATGCTGATCCCTGATACTGAAAATTGTGTAATGCGCTGGAAGCTTTAAGTAAGAAGGAAGTAAATATAATTATATATTATATATAATTATATTTACTTACTATATATGCTTGTGTAATGTTTACTGATTTAAGCCTATCATAAATATGGCTATGCGAACTTAAATAAAATTATAATTTTGCCTATGTTTTTGTTATTGCGAATATATTAAATGATATGTAGTAATTATAAAGCTTATATCATTAATACTTTAATACTAATTTGTTTATACTCATACATTTGTTGATATTTCGTGTACCACTTTGTATACTGTGTTAAATAGACATTGCATGCGAATATACACTGGTTTTGTGTATTTCTTCTTTATAATCTTCTTCCTGCTTCAACTATATAAAAATTTATTCCAGCAGTTTAAAAATTAATTCTCCTAAAATATTAAATATCACTATGTTGGTTGATATTAAACTGTTGCAATACGTCATGGGCAGTCGAAGATAAATAAAATTAATATAAAAGTTATAACGTCTATTAAATATCGTAGATTGATATAATTGATTTGAGAAAGTATAATTTTTTGACTGAAGATAAAGTTTTGACAAAAGCAATGTTTCTATGATTTAGTGATTGTTGTTATATAATACAAGATATCATATTGTTAATAGATATTTAGGAAAAGTTCGAAATAAATATAGGTAATATATAATAGCCGCATATGAATTAATCAAGATTCATTATCATATATATCATAAACGAAAGAAGTGCTTTTAGATATTACTTATAAGTTGCGTAGTAACATGTATCTTACAAAATATAGTAACAATATTTAAAAATATTGTACCACAGTCCTAAAGTTGTTGAGTTTTATATAGGCAAAAATATTACTTATTAATCTGCATGTCCAGTTCAATAGAGGAATTTAAAGCAAAATTATCATAACAAATGAGTAGTATCTCAAATCGAATTTCATCACGGTCAAAGATGATCAAATATTGCTTTGTAGAATAATGCGCTTCATCAGTATTGACTGACGAATGTCTTTGACAGAAGCGACAGCAGTAGCCAGTATTGGATGGGGGCGAACCGTGACCCCCAGGACCTTTCAAACTGGAAGTGGGTGAACGGCAATGACGTCACATTATCCTTCTGGAACGCACCAGGCGGTAGGGAGGACTGCGCCAGGTTCGACGGCAGCAAGGGGTGGCTGTGGGCTGACACTGACTGCCGGGCAAGACTGAACTTTATCTGCCAGCACCGTAAGTTTATTATACTTGTATGCACTGCGACATATTTTTTGGACCAGCGAATGTTTTGCAAGCGATTGTTTTTAGTTAATTCAGTGTATTTGTGACTCTAAAAGGTATTCATGTTGACCAACAGAGCCTAAAGCATGCGGTAGGCCCGAACAGCCTCCTAACTCGACGATGTCTGCTAAGAGCTTCAACGTGGGTGCTTCTGTTGAGTACGCATGCGATGAAGGACACCTTTTGGTTGGCCCCACAACAAGAACCTGTCTAGATACAGGATTTTATGATGAGTTCCCTCCTGTGTGCAAACGTAAGTACTTTTGTCAATCCGACAATACATCAGTAGCAGTATTATTAATAATAATTTTCGAGGAAAATTTACACAGAGTCATCTAGTGCCAAACTAAGCACAGCTTGTACTATGATTACTAAACAACTGATTGAAATACTTAATACATTTTTTGTTAATACATACATACATCGAATCCGTGGCTATTGGATGACAAGCGATACTAAACCGCTAAACCACCAAGTCCGCAACATGTACCTCATTAAATGTATTTCTTCATACTCATTAATTCCCAACAGAACTCAACACCAACTTTCCCATAAGAAAATGTAAATCTTATATATGTAGTTAAGCATGTAAGTCATAAACTGCACACTAAACATAATATAAATAAAATAAGTGATCGCTAAAATAATATTAATAATTTTTACTAATGTATTAATTGTAATTTAATTTCAAAAATACTTAAAATCGTAATAGCAGTTGATAGTGATAGTAACGATGGTGATTAATAACATAGCAATGACATTCTATTTTCAGGAATCGAATGCGGCTACCCAGCGGATATACCGCACGGAGTGTACGAACTTGTAAATAGTTCGATATCGTATTTATCTCATGTGCAATACTCATGCAAGCCCGGCTATGAGATGGTCGGACGTTCGCGGCTGGTCTGCGATATCGACGAGAGGTGGAATGGTCCACCGCCGAGATGCGACGGTAAGTATTTTACCGTATTTTAATAATAACCTGATATATTATTTATAAATTGTAACCGAGTAATAAAACATAAACCTCGATCTGGAGCCCTAGAATTAATGCTTGTCTTTAAAAGTATCCGACATGGATTTGGTTAAATGGGTACATAACATATGTTGTAACATGGTTATAGACAATAAATGCTCATCTTATCCTATATATGCTGAATGCAGCAGATTTTGTTAGTAAAATAAACACCATAATCACTGTATTTATTTGAGAATTCTTTATCATCATTTGAAACGCTTCATACCTTCAGAAATACATAGGCTATTATCATACTGTGTTAACGTATTTAAAACTCACAAACGTATTCTTTTAACGAAGAAAATTTAAATTCACGAAGATTTAGCACCGAGCGAAACCGGGTGGGGCAACTAGTTGAGATTTAGGGCATTAGATTTTTCGGTCTACTCTAATGCTCCAGCTTTACTGCTTCATTGGACGATAGGCGAGTGTAGATAGCACCACAAACCCGCGGAAGGACTTATGAAGCGGCTAAAGGCCCACTCCTGCCTGACGTATACGACTTCATTCTCAGGATACATCCAGGGTTTCGAACCTCGGCTCAGGTTGATTTCATTAGTATATGCGTTTGCAATAAAAATACAGAGGTGAACTAAATCTTCACGACTATAAATAGTACGTAGTGAATATCATCTGGCAACAGCTGAAGTGATCCTAAGATGGTGCTAGAAAGGTTAAAAGTACCATCAGACACGTGACCTGTACCTATAGAAAACACCGGCTGAACTTTCAACGATCCGCGCGAAACAATCAGAGCTGGAAACGGCACCAGATGTTATCTGTCTAAAACACGGTAATTAGTGTAATTAGATAGCATATCTCATAAGTGCACATGGGAACAACGCGAGATTTTTCACATACAGGCAGCCGGAGCTCTCTAGCGGGCTCGGCATATTATGTGGGTCAAAACGACATTGTCGTTTGGTCGTTGCGTAATCTGATCTAATAACTAAATGTCATGCTTTTCTACAAATGTCTAAAGATTTTGTCGAAACTGTATTAACGTCCTGCATTCTTAACAAAATTATTATTCAAGAAACATGGGTGTGTTTTCATATTATTCATATCAAAATATTATGTCGTAGTGGTACAATGTGAAGAACCGCCTCAAATCTTAAATGGTCTCGTGACGAAGGCAGCGAACAACATCTCTGTTTTCGGCTCTGTCGCGGAATATGCCTGTATTCGTGGATACAAACTGTATGGGGCACGAAGATTAACTTGCCTTGCATCTGGTGTTTGGGACAAACCGCCACCATACTGCCGAAGTGAGTATTTTTATCAGAGTTGATTTTTTTTAGATAATAATAGTATACCATACGTCACAATGTAGTGACTGGTTAATGATTTGCCTGCGCTAATGATTAACACTGGTGGGGTACCAGCGGAAGATGATAAGATATGAGGTCAATATTAACCAGGAATTTATTTAGATAGTTTCTAGGGAAAATTGTGTGGAATTAAATCGGACATGACACATTGCTAGCAAAGGGATCATTAAAAACTGTAAGAAAACGGTAATACTAACAAAATAGGCAAGAAAACCTGATAATAAATAAATTATATCATTAGTTCACATTTCTAACAGAGACAATAGTTAGCTTGCATTATAAACTGTATTCCGTTTTGAAACTTGAGATATGGCAGTAAAATTACAAGATACGGAAGCAATCTAATCATAAAAACTAGTTCTGTCTCTATCTAGCAAGTGCTAATATATGCATGCTTTATTAAACCAATTACCTGTTTCGTTAGAGATTCATGTATTTTTTTTAATCTAACTGGAATTGTAAAAGAGAAGACGACACTCCTGATGGCAAGTGGTAATCATCGCCGACGTCCCTTTAAACTGCCTTATCGAGAGATAAGGCAGTGTAATTACAGGGACGTCGGCGTTCAATCGAAACAAATTTTACAAATAAAGTTAACCTACTGAAATAGATGACGTAGAGGAGTTTGTATGTCGACTTTGGTACAAATATATAAGTGCAATGATTACTAATACCTCATATATTTGTCACGTTCGACAGTTAACGAGACAACCACAACATCGTCTAGCACGACAACGACCGTCAGCCCCCCGGCGACTACTACTACATTACCACCTAGCCCGGTGCCATCCACGCTTCCACCACTACTGCCCACCAGACCGCGACCCTCTCCTCGACCAGTGTCATCGCCGACTCCCTTCTCTCCCTCTGATATTTCACGAAGACCGAGACCGAAGACAACAGAACGGCCAACTACGAAAGTGTATGAGAAGCCGCCGGAAAGGAAGGTGACGGTTGGAGACACACAAGAGTCGCCTACCAGCCACGTACCACATATTATAGTGGCCAGCCACCCAAGGGAAAATCAAGTAAGACGTGATATAATATTAATTTCAATATTACTAGCGCATACTCGTCGTCAAAAAAAAACAAACGTCAAAAAACAACGTGTTGTTTAAGTGGTAGATATACCACTCCATGTTTTTGGTTTTCAAATTAAACCCTCTTGGGGCACATCGGCTGGTTAATTTCAAAGTCTATAACCTATATTCTATTTTTGGTTATAAATAATTACTAGTATGTATAATATATAATTCAAATATGCTGTTATTAAAATATAAAAATTACATCATCAACTGGGTATAGCAGTTGATGATGTAATTTTTAATGTTTCGTAATCAGAGAGTCTGTCAATTTTACTTTTATCTTTAAAGATTACAATAGACACAAACACACTAACAAAAAGAACTCAAAATTATATTCAATTCTGTAAGAGCAAGCCCGTGTTCGTGTAAAGCCTTATTAGGTAACAGAAGATCGCATGTAGAGAAATGCGTGAGTGAAAGTCTATTTGTGAATCGATTAACCTCACTACTTATGGTTGACAATATGACACGTGCACTTAACGGCCCATATTTAAAATGTTATTGTTGTCATTTATTGTTAGGTATGTCATATGTTTAATATTTTCCAGCCCAGAATTGTAGAAGTACCTTTCTTAATGTATATTTGCCCAACTGACGAGAAAGGAGGGTAATGTTTTCCGGGTCTATATACCTACGTTATATGTTTTCATATCCGTGCAGTCTACGTTATGTGCTTAATGTATTTTAATGTATGGCAATATTCATCTAAATGTTACATTCTTTTCTCGAGACCTAGTATTATACCATTGGTAAATTTTCAGATTTTGGGTAGCGGCAATAACATACGAGCGGAACAGACTCCTCGCGTCAACGTTCCCCAACCAGTCGATGGGGAGCGGCACGAAACGATGGGTGCGCGCCTCAATCTAGGCGCTGTAGTCGCGCTGGGCGCGTTCGGTACTATTGTGTTCCTTGTGGCAATAATTACCACAATAGTCATACTCGTTAGGAGGTGAGTTTAACCTACATTTTATAAATTTCAAACAGTTCTGAAATAAAGTAGTAAACAGTTGGTCAGTCAGCGCTGGGGCGATTGCTACGCTATTACGGCTATTTATATGCTTCATGAAAAAATGCCGTGGTCGTCTTTAAAGAATTATATTCTTTACGTAACTGTTGTATTCATTAGTTCTTAGTCTTTATTTGGTATATTCTGTACCTTAAAATATAAATGCTCCTACACTATCACCCTTTCTCAGAAATTCATTAACTCTGTACTAACTGACAACTTATTTAAGCGATATCTATTACCAACCTTTCGTAAGTACTTATATGTGATAGATAAACAATTGCATCTTGCATTATTATTAGCATCGAAGTGACTTACTGCGATTGTGAACATTTATTAGATAAAAGATGAATAAATTACATTATCTTCTTAAAAAGTATATTTCTTGAAAATAACTTTACTGCCATGTTATATTTGGTAAAGGTTAAGGTTAGAGTCAATTTCTGAAATGGATGCGCCTAATATACAGGCCTAGTCTCGTAATAGTAAAGAGTATAAAGCCTATTTTAGTATATAAGAAACTGAACTACTTTTCCATAGAATCAAATTGAATATTTTAAATAATTCACAAAACCTTCGCATCAGCTGTGCATTCATATGAATTTATAGTCATTAGAAATAAACATCGAAAATATATTTCCATCTTCCCACTTCGTTTCTTGGTTAAAGTGGTTCAATTTCATGAGGATAATACCCGGCTATAGGTCTGATATAGGTACCATTTACATCTAACACTATATAAAACTCATTCAAACATACTCAATTACTAATTGATTACCAACACAAGAAAATGACTTTAAACATGAATTAGCAACAGAATGAATATCATTAATTAGTAAGAACGGTATGAGGATGCACACGAGAATGAATTCTAATGGAATTAACCTGGACAACGTCAGTGGGGGCCAAAAGCGGCCGCGTGCGGCGGTGCGCGAGCTCCCTTCCCGCTGGTACACCTTGCTGGCCCTCCCATTCCCTGACCAGCAAGTCGGGAGGAGAGAGTTTGTCCGCGCCCATCGGCATACACATCGCGCGGGACATTTCTCCAACCCCTTATAGCGTGCGTTTATATTTTAAGGTACACGGTGGCGTGGTGGCTGATAGGCGCTCCAATTTCCAACTCGTAATCTTCTTTTTGTTATTTTTCTATGTACACGAATATACCTTTTATATATCTCGAAATGTAAAGAAATTATATAAGAATAGTTTTAGTTATAAAAATTATAAAGAAATCATATTCAGCTTCTGTTAAAATTAGAGCTGGACCTTTTTGTATCTCTAGTATAATTTTCATTGTTATTCTTTTTTTAAATATCAACCTGGAATAAAATTGTAAAGTGACCAGCATTAACTTTTAACATTAGAACATCATATAACAATATTAAGAACTTTTGATATTAGTCAATTTCTGATGACAATAATGACTGCTATAACTACTAACACGAAGCAGCATCTTTTGCCAACAGATTTTGTTTGATTATATTACTAATGCAATGATGATGATATCAATATCTTGACTAATTTGCATTAATTATCTTTAGAGATATTTAGATATTATTTATGAGTGCCTAACCAAATAAGGTGCTAATAATTAAATTATCGACTGTTAAGATTGAGTAATTTGTAGTTATAAGATACATTCGGTGATTAAGGTACCAATACTATATCAAAGGTTACTAACATAATTAGAGTATCATTCATAAATTATAAGCTTCATATCATATCATAGACAAAATCAAAGCAGCCACCATGTCACAGCGCACACGCACCTGACAAGGCTAAGCACACCGCCACGCCATAAACAATAATTAAAAGTTTTGTAAACTCTATTCAGTTGTAATCAGATTATATAAGGTACTACTAAATTATTCCCTACTATGTAGCATAGTATTAGTTATGTTATATTAAGATAATTATGGAATTAACTGTTTAGAGAGTATCAAATTATTTCATAGACAATTTTTTCACACAACATAAATATATTCAATTTTGTGACAACAAGTCCGTGTTCGTGTAAAGCCTCATTAAGTAACAGGAGATCGCATGTAGACCGATTTTGTTATTTATTTAGGTAGTAAAATAGATTATCCATCTTATATAGTATCTACTACACCATACCATCGAAGCGGCAACGATTGTTTATATATCATCAGTATAGGTATAAACATTTATTATGCCGCTTTTTTTATATAAAATAATTAATGACAATGAAGACAAGAAATTCCATCATTATATGTATTTATCTAATACTGTGCACTGTAGAAGGAAATCCAATTAATTTAGTAGCACCCTGTACCTATATCACAAATCACAATTTTCACACAATATTTTGGCCTCCACAAATATCAGCTTATACGTACTTCACTTAGTTTAGCACTCGCTGTACATAATAAAACCTATAGTACACCAATTGCGTACTAGACAAAGCATGACATTATAGCACAATATGTACGATATTGAACTTAGGTATTAATATAGTATCTACGATGCATAAATTTCATTTTAAGAAATGGTTACTATCGTCAGCTCATGTCACACTTGTAGTTCACTAATTAAAAATCTGATCTTTTCAAATTAACTCACTCGAACAACAGTCAATGAGTAGTTATTTGTAAGACAGTTTTGTAAAATTGACTTTTTCTGATACTATTAATTTTTTCTTGTAATATTCTTTTAAAAAACATTTACGGGAACTAATAAACAAGGAATTATAATTCTACGTCTACAAATGTGAACTGTGCTAACAATATAATTAAATTCTTTAAAAATGTAAAGAGAAAACATTATTATAATTTTACAGTAAAACACACACAACTAATAAAGTGTAGTTACTGTATTTGCTGTTAACTTATATTTCTGTTTTATTCATCAATTTATGATTATATATAATATAACAGAATATAAAAAGATAAAACATGCAATAAAATACAGACATAATAATTTATATAAACCGTCAGCAGGAAGCACCACGACGGGAAGAGATACCGTCACCACGTGTCGCCAGACTGCAACACAGTTGCGTCCCTGGACTCTTCCTCGTCTGAGTCTAGGAGCGGCCTGAACAAGTACTACAGACAGGCGTGGGAGGAACTCCACGAGGCCGCCGGCGCCAAACACGGCCATAGAAGAGACAGAGAGGCGCCCAAAGATGGGTCCGAACTGGTGGTGTCAGACGTGTACCCTGCCAACCACGCACGGGACAAGCGGCGTCATCATCATCACCATCACCACCGTGAACCTCGGCACCCGGACTGGCAAGCGCCCCATCGTCCCCACCATAATCATAAACCTAGGTATTAAAGACTCGTTAAGCAACTTCATCTAAGTAATTCACAGGGTTCAATATGGACATTAAACTCAAACATTTATTAGATACTTGTGAAATTTTAATGTGTAGTCTATTATGATATGATAATTATTATAATTAATTAAATTTGTTTATTATTTTAGTAATTATGTGAGAATATTGAGGCTAGAATTTATCAACTGAACCAAATATCTGTGCAGGTTGTCAATAGATGTTGTTGATTGTATATTATACTTATTGATACCACATATTTTAGTTGAAATTATCTCATTACAATAAAAAATATATCCATCAACCAGTTATAACAACATACATAAGCATATAAAATGGCCATAGCTCTGTATAGGTAATAGGTTGCAATTCAAAACACTAATATTACTTTATCTGAGAGTGGAAAGTGAAAGCTGTCTATATTTTTACGTAGGTTTTGTCTAATTCGTGTGTTAAAATGTGTGGTCTCAGTATAAGTATATTATGATCATTGGCAATTACTTGTATTACTTGTATTTCAATGTAGGAAATTAAAAAGAATAATATATTTTTACATTATAAGCTTCAGTATTTCAACTTTAGGTACTTAAAAATTATTAAAATACTTTCGCTTAAACTATGATTACCTTGATCTTTTCTTAAATAATTATTACACCTACCTATCTATCTTTTTTTATTATATACTTATGTTTAGATATATCCTATTCTTTGTTATATTAATTAGTTTATAAGAAATTAAGAGTATTGTATATAAATTATTACCTAAGTAGGGCTGTAAGATTAGATTGAAGTTAATCATTGTTCACGCTTTAATTTTCCTGTCTAAAATAATTCTCATAGATTTCTTTTATATAAAAAATAACTATTAAATCAAGTATTGCAACGAAAACTAGATATGTAAAAATAGCACATAGTAGGAACAGTCTAGAAAAAGATACGTAAGCAACGTATCTCGTTAGTTAAGGATCGAATGGAAATTTTATAAAAAGATAATATCGATTTAATAATAATAATAATACAAGACTTTATTCAGATAGTATATTTTTTTACATTATAAAATATGTATACGTACGTACACATGCGCACACATACATATATATAACTTACTAGCTGTGCCCCGACATCATCCGTGTGAAATAGTGACCTTGACCAAATAATGAAAAAATAATTAATAATTTACCCAAAAACTCCATAGAAAGAGTTTCATAATTCTACCTTCAAAAATGACGAATTTCCATACAAACTTACAACCTTTATTTTATTTTAGCCCATTAAGAGTAACATTTTATACAAATATTGTTTAATCTACCTACATAGATGATATGTCTCTGTGCCACTAATAGATAACTTACTACTAACTTCTTCCCATAGAATTGTGGAAAATTTTAAGATTTTTATTTGTGATTTCATCATATAATTTATAAATAGTTACTAAAACACCAAATTATTGGGAACCATTCGATCCTTGTCTCCCATAGAGTTGTATTACTTACTAAAACATTAGATTCAAAGTATATGCTAATATCTATAATATGGTACAAAGTAATTATATAATTCTATAGCCCACGAAGCGAGAATAACGCAGTACAATTGTAAACATCGGCTAGGTACCTAACTTGACAAAAAATATGTAAAAATATATGATGTGCCATTAGACAGGCAGACATAAAAGGCAAGAAATTTACGGCTATTATTAATTTATTATTGTACTTTAGTTCCGTGTCGTCGGTGGAAACATTTAATTTGTTTGTTTATATAGTTTATTAGTATTTAATAACTCCAAATTCTCTCATATTTTGTTCCAGAATCAATAAACTAAACTAAATTTTCACCTAGAGAATGTAATTGGATGTACTTCATACAGGCCATTCGGTATAATGTGTAGTAAGAAAACCAGTGACATAATATAATGTTGAGACTTATGTAATATGTAACTTCTTATTTAGGATATATTTGGGTCCCAAATGAAGAAAACTGATTGATAATATTTATTGTATATGCATGTGCAATTATTATGAATTATGAATAAATAATAAACATTATTGAAAATTATTAACGGTTTGGAATTTGTCTGGTTTTCCTAGATGTATGCTCTCACTTCTATATATAGATGTCAAGTCATACCGATGATATTTTCATTTGAACAAAAATTAATAATATCCTGAATTTAGCAAAATTTACCAATTCAGTGAAAAACATTTCTTTATAATATGTTAAATATAGTGATAATTTTAAAGTAGCTGGATGTCTTCGTTTGTTCATAGACGATATGTGGATCGTGCAAAAGTGAAAGGTTTTTTTGTCGTATACTATTTGTCACACATGACGTGTTAAACTATGTATCTACCACGATTTGTGACATCAATGTACGTAATTTGGTAGCGCTCGAATTTATACTACATATGTGCGCTGTAGCATGGTGCGGGTGACAGTTGCTTCATTTAACAATTGCTATATTTAACAGTTGCTAAATTTAAGTTACTACAGTTATTAATGATTTAATATATTGCGAATGTGGTACAGCTGAAATACTAAGTCATAATTTGTAAATTACGGCAACTTTCAAGAGTAAAACGATACTGTCACCCGCACCATGATACAGTACAGCGCACATAGTATAAGGTACTTATGGGTAACAAAAATTGTTTTCAGTTTTATTTACCCGGAATGAAAACGACAGATTAAAGGCTTCCACCAACGATGATGAATGGACGGATAATTTTATGTTACGTAATGGTTCCTTATCAGTGTTGTATATTACCCCGTGGCCCTTCCGATTAAAATAAAAATAAAATAATTTAGAAATAATTTTATTTTTTATTCTAAATTAAAATGAAACTAATTTATTACGGCAGTTTTAAATTTATAGATGATGACTTTGATCCATCCCCTTCAAGGCCCAACGTCCATCCCGACAGAACAGGTCTTATGACGGTAGATATAACTAGCAGGACACCAGTGAGAGATGAAAAGATGCATATGTGGTCTGATCAGATAGCCCATCGTGATCCAAGATCTAACCACGACGGTTTCCAGGGGAAATCACGTGGACATGGCACTAACAAGGCACATTTCTAGCAATGGGGCCAGCACCCATTACTGACAATCCTCTTCCCCTCAGTACAAGTAGTTCATAACAAAACAACTGAAATTAAGTCGTGGTAGCCGTTGCCGTAATAATCTCATTTAGGTATATCTGTGCATTTCTACATACGCGGGGGGGTCACGGGCGAAAGCTGATATTGTGACAGCTACTTGTTGCGTCTGAATTTTTGTTATAATCCGATACTTCAGCGGTCGTTATAAATGTCTGACAACTGGAAATATATTAGGCTCTCAGGCGGATATTGAATTATCCCTAAAAATGAGTAGAAACATAAATATAACGTTTGTATGAGAGAACGAATTGTGTGTCAAAATTGTATTGCATTATTATAATAAATTTTTTGTGATAATTATTGTGTATTTATTTTAAAATACAACCGCCAAATTAACTCACTGATTTATCTACATTTATGAGTTAGGTTACATCAAAGAATATACTACTCAAGAGGGTTACATTAAATTCAATAGTAGTGTCATAGAAGGAAGTCAATGCTCAATTTCAATAAGGTACTAGCGAACGGTTCCGTTTTATTATAGGCGTTTGATAAGTATATACTTATAATATCTGGCTATATGGGGTTTTCACATAGAATAAAATATTTAAAAAATATATATAATTCTTATACTTTAATATAAAAATCAAATGTTTACTACCTCAGTTATTAATATTAACTTGACATTTTAGAAGATTGTCGAATTTTTCAATTTATTTAGAAATTTGAATTATTCAGTCTTTAACAATTTCTTAACTAATACAGTAAATAAATTGCCTCAGTTTAGCGTCCTACGGCACGCTACAATCCGTTTGGCTAAGGCGGGATAGCAAATAAAACAGCCTAGTAATATATTATTTTTATTATAATTTTCAAATTACCTACGAGTACAAAAGGAGATACAAATTATTTGATTTGAAACTTGCATTGATTAATCTCAATATTAATATTTTATACATGTAATAACTTCAAGAAATATAAAAAACAGGTGGTAAAAATGTTCGCAATCAATAAATTGGCGACATCCATTCGGTATTAAAAACAATATAATAAAACAACAATTATGATTTTATATACATTTTGTACCCGCGTGTAATATTACCTATGCGGTATTAAATATCCCGTATTTTATCAAATTATGTAGGTAGAAGTAAAAATAATTACTATTTTAAAATGTAAATGTTATAAACGTAAAATAGACCATATGTCAAAAAGTTAAATAAAACACTAGTAAGAGGTTCTCACAAGTGGCCACACATTAAGAATATAATTTCATATTTACTCTCTGGATGTCACGAGAGGTTTTGTATATGTGTGGGAGTATAAAATAAAATAAACATTATATAAACTTGTAAAACATGCAGAAGTTGGGGAATTACGATGTAACGCTCATGCTAAATGCTTATAAAATTCCAAACGAGGTGGGAATTGAGGAGATAACCATAGAATTTGTAAATTGTGTAAAGTTAATATTAAACGAATATTCCTACAAGTGAGTTCGAGAGGTACGGCCGACAGGGATCAATAGAAATTGAACATTTGATACTCAAATAATAGTAAAAGTTGATGTTTTAATTAAAATTTCAATAGCAGTTTATTTAAGATAATAGGGAGGAACTGTGACTGATGTTATACGGGATTTTTTATATGAAGATCACTATCTTTCGGAAGAACGGAATTTTGTCCAAGTTCGATGTTGTTGACACACTGCTACCACGCGGCCACTGTCACACGTTAGAGTGAGATAGAATTACTTGTCGACCGTGGGCAAATGCGGCGTGATCGTTTTTTTTAATATTCTAGTAATTAATTATCACCACACCGTACAAACTTAACAACATTATTGGGTATTGTTGGATACTTGTGACATGTCACTGAGGTAATAAGGTACATAATGATATTATTGCTTTCCATCACTTAGTTTGTAAGGAACACTTAGTTTGTTTTATTATAATTTCGTAATTTATACATAATTGATTGGCGAGTATTACTTAAATTACAGAATACTTTACAGAGCGTTGACATGTATTTAAAGTTGAATTGTGTTGTGAAATATTTTTATATATTTTACATAGATAATAAAATACTACAATAACTAACATTTACACATAAAATGTATATTTTCTTTTAAAGTTTTAGACAAGCAAAAGCAGTCCCATTCGTTTCTACATAATAATTTGTGGTGTGTCGACTTCATTACATAAACTTGAAAGCACTTTTCATTATTTATTTAAAAATATATCTACCTACTTCTATATATAGACGATTGTAATTCTAAGTAAGAAAAAAAGTTTTGACACATGTATAATTGACAAACTGAATAAAAACCAGAAACTGACATTCATCATAAAATACATAATGCTGTATTATATTATACACTTCATATAAAGTCGACACGCCGGTCTCTCCATTGTTTTTGCCTACCTACGTCCATCAAGCCGCATATAAAAATATAATTATTATAATATACATACAATTTCTTATAATAAAGGATAATATACATTGTATTGCTTATACAATCTAAAATAGCTGCTACAGCTGAGAATATATGTGTATAGCTAATAAAAAAATTAATAAGTCTTTAAAATCTATCGTAAAATAAACTACTTTTTTATTCAATTTAGTGCCTGTGTAGTACGGGGAGAGCTAAAGAAATGGGATAAAAAGTATCATACATATATATTATCTATGATACGGTCTATTGTAAAATCACCATAAAAACATTAAATTATTTAAAATTTTCATTGAACACGTATTATTTTCATAGCCGAAGGATAAAAAAATACGGTAATAAGAAACAATTTTAATTAATAGCTTTGTGTTCATATAAATAAAACACAAATTCATTATTTCATTTAAAGTGTAGATTAGATAATATAAAACTGTCACTATTTAGCGCAGAATGCCACAGACAAAGGCCATCTCCATATTTAATTATTTTTAATGTAAAAATAACGGTATAAACACTGGTGACCACAGTGTTTTCTTTTCTCGTACATTTGGTAAATAATAGTAGCGTGTCATTTGCTTAAAATAAAAGTTAAATAATATAAACAAGAGGTGTCGCGCGACACTCGTTGAATGTATTTCATTTAGCTGTATGTATATTATGAGTATTATTACGCACAATGTTTGCTTAACGCTCTCTTTTAAGAATACAACTGGCCATACCATATTATATTACACATATATTTGCTATTACATCTAATAGCCATTATAAGTGGAATATACTACATGCATGTCAGTATAGTATTATAGCAAGTGTTCTGAAACTTTGCACTTTATTGGTCTATCTTTCATTTAGCAAATATCAGGAGTATAACGTAAATACAGCACGTTACACTCCTAATATTTGCTGAAACTAAGTAATTTTTGTCTAAAACAATCAAATTAATAGAAACAAAACTTTCTACGAACTATTTATAAGTTACTTTTTAATGGCTAATTTGTTAAAAGATATTAAAATTGTTCGTCAAATAAGTAAAATAATAATTGTACAGTGAGCTGTGAGCAATAATTTATAAAATTGGTATTATTACAATATATATAATGACTGATTTCCGACATTTTAATCTTAGCTCATATCGATCAGAAATATGAATAATTCTGTTAGTACCAAGATAAGGAATCTTTTTCTGGTATGTACGAGCGAGACAGCAATAGACCGAAACCAAACATTTCATAGCTACATTTACAGCAATATACATAGACTATACTATAAAAATACATAAGCAAGCAAAAAATCGAATCGCACACATAGTCGATTAAAATGTATCTATCTCAAATTCGTTTAATTGCAATAAAATATTGTCTATACATAAAAATAAATTGTGCGTTCATTTCTAACCTGCAAGAAACATTGTGGCCAACACTTGAATACTTTATTAGAAATTTAATACCAATTAAAATCTATTGTGAATATGCGTGACTTGCATATTACAAGGAACTTGCGATAGATATATTCGTAATAACAATATGTGGGTGACCGATTCCCTTTGCTCGCTAGTTTATCATTTGGCATATCTAGCACACCGTTTACATCCCTTTGCGGGTATCGCATTTTGTGACAAATTGGGAGTGTTCTCTAAAGATAAAATAAACCATGAGTCTTATAATTTATAAAATATTTTAACGTTCCCATGAGCAGACCTGGTAGCGATAACTTATTTAAATCAATTTTATACAAATTTAGTATATTTAGATTAGTCATCATTTAATTTTAATCCCATAAACTGTGACACGATAAACCCTGCCAATTAAAAAATCATATTATGATTTCTCGTCTGTTTTTAATTAGATGAATTAATGTCACGATGATTAGCTAAAGTCTTTCTTAACGGTATGAAAATAAAAACTATATTATTAAAAGATTTTTCCACTATAATTTACAGATTTCAGTTAAATATTTCGCACTAAGCGTTCATCGTCAATAATTAAAATATTAACTAAATATAAGGTAAAGCTTTGAGTACATGAATGAAGTGATTTTAAATAGAGGCAATAAATTATGGATTATTCACTATTAATGGATGGATATATTTTAAATTAATCATAACTCTATTATACTACTAACTTCGCTTATAAATAAACCGATATAAACCCAATATATATCATTAAATATACCTATTTAAATTATTGTCTTTATTTATATTTCCTATTTCGTACCCACTTGCCTCTATTTAGAATCTTATGGAGAGTGTTAGTGATTAATCTATAAAAATGCTACCGTATAATGTAAATTATTTGCATTTTTTACAATAAATCGCCATGTATGCCACAACTTTGTTCTATATAAAGCTATCGATCGCATAACACTGCAATGTACTATTTATTTATATACAAATAAGTTGGTTTATTTTAGTGCCGCAAGGTACTCTTAATCGCAAGATATTAAACGAGAAACAATCCGCACGTTGGCCTTTTGATCGCAAATGATTAACCTACCTTATAAAACGGAGTTTCGATATTAGGCATACTTAAGTCATGCTTAAGCTGTTTAGAAGACGGTTCAGTATAGTTTATTTTTATTTATATTTTCTTTATACTTTAGTAGCACGATAATAATATAAATGTTCGCCTACGATAAACAATGTACGAAACGCATAGAAGTCCATCAGTCTCGGGCATTTATTAGTGAGTACGTCACAATGCTGTAGTACAAGTTTTACTACATGAGTACACAAACGTAAAGACTATAGTTGGGCCGCTAACTATAACAATGCAATTTTTTACAATGGCGTTTGAGTCTTTTTTGAAGCAATCATCTAAATGACTCCTCAAAATTTATTTAATGCTCAAATTTTAATACGTTATCATTATAAAAGATAAATTTTAATACATTCGAATATGGATATTTACATACATCCATCCAATTTACACATGAAATAAAATTACACAACAAGCTGGTTGCGAAGGCAACGAAATAGCAATTATTTATATTTTAAGCAAAATAAATAGCTTTTTAAAATGTATCCATAATATTTAAAGCATTTTGATTCATTGATACAAAAAAGTCTCGAATGCCTTTTGATAATCTACATTATATGACCAAAGATTCGACCAACAATACTACTAGTTATTAGTTGTATTCATAAATCATAGCTAATATTATTTTCACAAAAGTAAAGTGCGAAATGTTTAAGTGAGAATAAAATCGAGAATGTTTTAAGCTGTTCTGATGAGACGTTTTCTAATGGTATTGTTGATCTAAACCCGGAGCATACATGTCTAAACATATTGCTTTTCTGAGACAATAATAATTTAATTACAGTTTAAAATTGGATCTAAAACGCCCATTAATATTAATGTTTGTTTTAAATATAATTTAAATAATAAAATAAAATTCCTTAAAAATATTTTAAATAGTTATAGACATAAAATAATTGAATATTAACTACTATTACATTGAACTTACTTTTTGAGTTTAATACTATTATCATACTCAAACAGTATGGTACATAAACTAAAAATATTGTAGACCGATTGGTCGTAAGATCTATCTTACATATGACCTTACGTATCTTATTTCTTGTTTTCAGCACGTCTGTTCTGAGACCTTCTATTTTAACATAAGATCAATTTCTGTAATAATAACCTTCTTCTAGGCGTCTTAAGATTCAATGTACAACCAAAGTGATACAGCAATTGTGTGACCTCACACACCGCGAAAAGCAGAGGCAGGTTATAAAGCCAAATCATATACGGCTAGTCCCCAACTCCGCCTGCCGCTCGTCGTCTGTAATTAAATTTGTACATATAAATGTTTTATTGTAACTGTAATAAATGTTATTCTATTTTATAATGACAACCTAACTGACGTGCTACTTAATGGTAATGATATACATAGACTGCACCACGGATATTATAGTATATTATGTGACGCCCATACGTGACGTCTTTTATGTGGGTACTTCTATCCCATTTTTTATTGAGAATTTTGGGCTTTTGTTAGGTGCTAATACCTGGAGAACTGCGACCTGCGCAGATCTATTGTGCTTGTCCTTTTTCAGACCTAGACCCGTCAGGGACAAGTGAAGTATATTCTTAAGAGCGATTGTTTTTATCTTCTCAGGATAGACTGTATAGTTTCCAAAGGAGATAATTCGTTTAAGACATGACATACCTATGTTTTTCACAAAATAAATTTATTTGATTTGATTTTATTATAATAAGTACCTATCAGCCGCCATGAGAGCTTGGTGCGCGTCCCGTTGCGCTGACACCTGCACTATCTCCGCAACCGTCGCCGCTTGCTGCTCCGCTGTCAAAAAATATAGCTATTTATTAAACATCCTATAATATAATGTATGTAACTTGGACTGTGTTTTCCGGTTCCATCCATGTACGATCTCTTCTAGACTGTTTAAAATTACCACACTCCATATTAATTTTCTCATATCCACCATGAATTTATTCTAAAAATAGAAACTACTTTTATTATACCATGAAAATTTAAAATTGATTAACTATTAACATTCAATGAGGTTTTAGAAATTATTACACAAGATGAAAAACATATAATGAATTTCTAAATGGAGTACAAATGAATGTTTAATAGAATAGTTAATGATTGCTGTAGTTTCGTGCAAATATCCAAATATTATATATTATGTGTTTCTAGGTAAGAAAACAATACTCATCCATTCTTGCCAAAGAAAACTAAAAGATAGAAGTTGCGGTACATGAGCTGTTAGTACTACTACATATTACGTTTACATAATACTTTTACTGTGTCAATTGTACAATCGTTAACAGACAGTACAGATTTCCAAATACCATATTAATTACTGGACAATAGTCGCCGCTCAAGTATCGCACTATCGTTAAGTAACTTCTCGAAATACTAACCAGATATCAAATGAGTCAGAACTCATGAAACGTTCTCCGCAGCCTTTAGATGTCCAGTAAAGCTAACAAAGCAACCACATATCTAGCAATGTGCTATGTCAAGTTGACCACCACGTGGATCCCCTGGAAACCATCGTAATAAATGCATGGTGAATTTACCACGAAGGGCTGACTGATCTGGCCTAATACTCATATTATCATTCTCCACTGGTGCCCCGCCAGCGTAAGCCGTTAGCGCGGGAGGGTGCACCATTCCATTGTCACCCATAACTTGTACCTACCAGACAGGGGTCGTGTTAGTCGCCGCTCGAGCCGAGCCAACCGCCGTGCGCTCTGTTCCTCACGTGGCTCTTCCCTTGCACGCCGCTGAGCGACAAGCCGCGCCCACCGAGCCTCGAACCAAAGCTGCATCGCATCTCGTTCGTCCACATCGCCTGCGCCTGTGCCGCTGGCACTTGGACCTTGTTAGTGAAGCCACGTTACATGATGTGTGATGATATTATTAGATTACAAAGGGATTACACAGTCTCTGTTATTTAGATCTTGATATGATATTTATTAGTCATTATGATGTTGAGGTAATTAGATTGCTGAGGTTCATGGTCATGTATGATAAAAACTATATAAAATCCTACATGTATGGTACACGAAATAGGTAAAATAACAGTGTTAAATAAACTACTTCTAACGTATTTGTAATTGGAAATGTAACAAATTATCTAACTATTGACCTCATACATATAACTATCGGTATGATCATACTAATGATAGTTAATTTAACATTACGTTAACATTATATACAATGAACTTAATAATATTTTATAAAATAAATTATAGAAGTATTGCAACGCGAGTGTATATAAAAAGAATCACAAATGTATACCTGTGTCAAAATTTGAACGAGGGTCACTTGATTTTTTATTTTAAAGTAGGCATGTGATCATTAATTACAAATAGAGCAATGAAAGATAGTTAACCCACCAGAGTGCCTCGTGGGGTATCGTGAGCAGTAGCCTGCGGGAGGTGGTGGCACCGGCGGCGCTTCCTGCAGAGCACTTGTCGACTTATGAGAACTGCTCATTCTCGCCTGTTGTGGATTCGACTCCTGTGACATGATATAGACCATTATAGATCATATATATGTATTCCTACATTACCAAATTGCATAATACATTAGAATCATATTTAGTACCTAAACACATAATACAAAACATAATAACCTAAAACCCAATTTTAACGTTAAACTTGAATATACGAGTCAGTCAGTTATTGAATTATTATTTCAAATTTCACTGACTGACACATTATCATTTTATAACCATATTTTGTCGTCCATATATTGGATTTAATCACTATTATTTAGAATATTTGTGTTCAACTTAAAAAAGGTAACATTTAAGTCTTGCTACGATGTTGTTGAACTCTTGATTTCAGGACTATTTCATTTCAAAAAATAGTTGTGACAAATATACACCTTAGTTGGCAGACAGTATGCGCAGTGTCTAGTAAATTAACAATATTTCAAGTAACATTTGAGCTTAAGAACAATAATATGTTAATATTATTATTTACCCGTTTCACGATATCATACTGGGTAAAATATAAATAGCAGTCGGTAATTATAAAATTTTTAAATATGTTATAATATTTTAACTACAGACATATACCTAGTGTTAGAATACTAAAAGTCGTAATCGTATGAAAATCTTTAATTAGCCTTATTTTTAACAACATTTCCATTATTAGTGTGTATTGTGTCGCTACTGGTTTGTAAAATAAGTGGTAAAAATATGTATGTCTAACTATGGAGTCGAAATTTAATTATATCAATGCTATACTTATTGTCAGGAAGTGGCATACATGCATGTGAGTGTAAGAACTTGGTCATTCGGTTTCTACCTAATAGAATAAAGATACCTGTCAAGTAGACCACTGCCCACTACTTCTATAATATCGAAAAAGAAAATATAGCGGACAAAAAGGAGCTGGTTTTGGTTGAGAATTATGTTTTTCACATGCAACGAATATAGCACCAGGAAGTCATATATATTCGTTAATTATACTTACAGGTACGTTCGCAGCATTTTAGTTTTCACAAAATAGTCAAGAAATCCACAATCCTACTAGAATTAACACAAAATCAATGTAGTTACTATTGTAAAGATATATAAATGAATACCATTTACAACAAGTTAAGCTAACAAATACCAATGAATAATTTGATTACATATTTTTGTGTCGTTTGGAATAGTTTTTTTTTTAATTTATAATATTTAGCCATCATAGTATGATAGCGCATAAGATAGTACAACCTGCCTTCAGCACTACCTGACAACATCAAAGCCCATTACAAAGAAATACTTTGAATAAATATTCATAAATGTACAAAATCAGGCATAAATCAAGCAACTACATTCCAAAATTAACACTCCTCACAGCACATATAGTTCTACATTACATACAACACATACAATAAGCAATTGCCATGCATACCCACGGATAATTCATTTAATATGATACTTGTATATCGATTATAAGGGCCAAATTTATTTAAAACAATTTGAAGCCGTTTCTTTTCAATTAAATAGTTTTAATGACGTCTCGCTACCTGCTGCTTTCACTATTTCCGGCGAGGTCAGTGGCAGAATATATCTCTGTTATTAGCACACAGATTAACAGAGTACTTTAAAAAAAAATAACAATAAGAAACCTATGTATAAACTTGCTTCAAAAAAGTTATCTATATGGCACTGCAAGTTCTTTTCCGGATATTAGTTGTATCAGTGTTCAGAAGTTATAGAATTAAGTTGAAAGAATCTGTTTGGTTGCAAAAAATATTAAACAAGCGAAAATAAGTTAAATATACCTATGTTATTTTTGTAAACGAAGTAGTAATAAAATCTCTTTATATATGTATATAAAAATAACAAAGTACTACTACAACGAAATGCTGAACAGTCAATTCGACACAACCATAGAAATCACAGGCGAACGTAAACAGAGCACGAGTAGGAAGCGTACCGGAGAACCGTTGGATAGATAGCGAGATTGCACTAGCAAATTTGGCGTTGGATCATTTCTTCTATATCTTTGTTGTATATTAGATTTATGAAGCGCATTGGAATGGATGCATCTTCTTTTTTTGCGTTTATAATAGTCAGCACAAGGTTCCTATAAATATTTTTTTAAAAAGTATATAAAATTATGTTATAAAATTATTTAGATATTAATATTTTCACATATTTTTTGGCTTTGCATAACACGATTTAGTCATTTTCGTCCAGTCGGCTTTTTTTCTAGCCGGGGCAGCTAATCTAATAACAATGGCTTATTCGCCCACGATATCGTGTAATGAATGAATAATAAAACATTATTTTTATCGATGATTATTTTAGATATTTCATTTTATCTATAGCCAGATCCAACGCCAATGCGAAATCGTCAAGCGTGACTCGACCGTGCCAACGTACAGTCAGCGGGCGTTGATGGTGCGAGATACGAGCTGCATGCGACTCATGACACTGTATGATATGCTTTGCTTACGTGCCGCCTCAGCTCCGGATCCGATACCCACTGAAAATATCAACTACTGTTAGTCTACTGGGTCCGTAAATACTGTACCTCTTAACAACATCACAGAGCAACAGGACCCTCCATTTGAATATGAAAATAATCTTCAATCATGTATGAATAGTAATAGAAACGTAAACTTTTACGTGAAAGGGTGACATGCATCTATCCTCATACTTATGAGTATAGATGCATGTTAACCTTTCACGCAAAAATTACTAAACGATTACAAATAAAATTTAAATATAAATCTGCCATATTTTTAATTAACACATTACTTATGAGTCGAATTCATGTGGAAAGTTTAGTATATAAATACTAAAACTGCCGTATATTTTTATTCCACGTTATAATAATAATCTCTTATAGATATTGTATAACTAAAATTTCTAAGTAAACGATGTTATATTGATATTTCAGTGTTATTTTTATTTTGTCCTTTCTTTGCTATATAATATGTTTTAATCACGTGGATAAAATAACAATATACAATGTCGTATTAAATATGTTTATTTCTGCAGCTGTATTATAATCAGTAATCTAATACTGTTGCCCTGTGATGTGCAAAGGTGCATAACTTTTGAATAATGCCAGGTTTATATTTTAAATTGGACCCCCCAATAGAACCATACAATCATTTTAGTTACCTTCCCAACATAACAGTTATGTTAACTGCTGTTACAAAATAACAGTAATCAATTCATATGTACATTAATATACAATTAGTAATAGTAGTAGTAAATTTGAAACAAAAGTTAGACGGTAAAATTTTGGATATCTATAAATTTTGAGATGCTTTTTATTGAAATATCATCTCTCCACAAATCGGTATATGCGATTATGTCCAGACTTATTTTTAAGTTTATCAATTCACTTTCATTAGTAGTTTAAAACCATGAATATAAAAAAGACAAAATTTAATTTATAATGTTATGTACTTTGTATGTTAATATTATGACTCTCTAATGTACATTCGATGGAAGAAAGCGGAATTGTTTTGAACAACTCAACTTTACAAAAGTACTTTTTGAAAATCAATCATTAAAATTTATAAAGTATTATAATAAAATAATATCTTAATATCAGATATATTTTATTACTATATGCATTTTTTTTTTACTTTACTGATGATACATATGTTGTAATCTCAAACCTTTAATATATTTTCTCAAAGTAAGTTCAATAAGAAGCATCGTCATTGTATTTATATTATTTCATCATAAATTTTGTAACAGTGTAAGTATATGTTCACTGGATGAAAATTAATAACATTTATAGTTTAGTAAGAACGTGCTGCATTAATGCTAATAGTTAATGCGCTATATATAGTAGACTCAATGGCGACGTACTCAATGATATCAGACTTATACATACGCACAAGATGCGATAGTTTCCGATTGTATTAAGCAAGCCATCGCCTGAATGTTTATCTTTAAAAAATGAATTTTAAAATTTACCTTGTGTCGAGGTCCGAGTCTGTTCAGATAGTTCGATATGCTCTTCATAATACTCTTTCTTCTTCTCTCTCTCGCCAGCTCGGGGTCGGAGAATGAGGGTGTAACTGGTAGCGGCATGAGCGGTGGTGCCGGCCGTGGTGGAGGAGGCGGATATTGTTGGAGTGGAGGCGGTGGAGGCAGAGGGGGCGCACTCGGGAGAGTGGGGGGAGGTGGTACAGGTGGAGGCATATTCGAAACAGGGGAAACTCGAATGCGACGCGACGACTTCCTACCAACGCGGGGGCCACTGCCCAGCCTCTCCAGCACGAGCCTTCGAACTACCTCCGTCTGCTCGTCTCGTTCCCTTTTGATCTCCTGCACCTTATGCATAGTCTCGGGCGCAGGCGTCGGACTTACTGGCGACACTGATCCTGAACTTAGATTCAGAGACATTGACCACTCTGTATGACGGGGCGGCGATTCTATACTGTTGGAATTAGATCCTGTGAATGTCTCACTAGCTGACCTACATATGGCCGGTGAATATAGCCTCATTGACGTTGGACCAGCTGAAGAAAACGTTACAGGCGTGCTCGAATTAGAATATATATTACTAATCGTTTTTGGCGTTTCAGGTACAAGTGGGGGAGATGTGTCGTCTAGTGACATCTCGCTCTTCGTTTCCATGGACTTAGATTCAACATCCGTGTCTTTTTCGAGAGGTGGCGACATGTCGGATAAACTCAATGAGTCCATTTTAGTATCGACAGGAATAGCGTTTTCGGTTTGTTTAATATCGGCGTTATTTATTTCAGGACTTTTCGTTGCATTCTCACTGCTAGATTTTTCGCTAGATTCTTGCTCTATCGATTTCAACAGTTGCGGTGATTTAAAATCTTCTGGCACTAATGCACTATCTGTTTTGAGATCCACATCATCAACTGATTCGGTGGTTGTTGTGATAATAATGTCTTGAATATGGCTGACTTCTTGACTAATGGGCTTAAATACCGTTTCGGAGAAGCTACTCTCAATAAAATTCATTGATCGATCGTTGCTAGGAGAATACGTGTCATATTCATCATCAACAAACTCCATATAACCCTCGTTACGGGGGGTCGCGGGCGTTTCTATTGATGGGTCCTGTTCACCTTCATCAGCAAATTCAAAGTTTTCGAAAGCGTTCGAGTAGACAATGGGTTCAGGGCTAGTACGACCACACACGTGCGACGTTATTGTTGATATGTTTTTCGCATCATGTACCGTTTTCGGACCACTGAGTGTACGCGGATTTTTGCTTCTCTTTTTTTCCTCTTTGTCATCAAGTGCACAGTCGTCGAGCACAACACTCTCGGCTGCCCAATCGGAAAGCTCCGTTTCAGTAAGAGCTAGGGTGGTCGCGTCACGACACGATTCTGATGATTCCGATTCCACTGCAATTACAGTTGGTGCGGTTACAGTGCCGGAAGCCTTATCGTCTGTATCTTCTGTACCACTATTTATTAACATGAGACTGTCTAGCTGTATGAGCTCCCCGCCTTCGTCATGAACCTCAACTCTAGGTACAGACTGATTTGGTACTGTTTCTGTGTGGGACGAATCGTCCTCTGACAGTGAGTCGGACTCCAATTCCGGTTCTGGCTCTTTTTTCTCTTCTGGGATTGGTTCTTCTCGCCAATCTTTTGTGCAGAGCGGAGAGTCTCCTTTAGTAAGTAAATCAACAGGCGCATCGCCACACAGATTTTTGATAATATCAGGCATCGGTTGAGTTTTCTTTTCTTCCGTTGAAATTGAAAATTGAAAAGTGACAATCGGTTTCTGCGGTTGTATCGTTGGAGTTGGCGCGGGATGTAGCATCTTCTGAAACTCGGTGATATTGGAGCGGAAAGCTTCCAATTTGGTGTCTAGCTGGGAAGTGGAGTCCGACTTGCGAACAGCAGGTGGCGAGGGTTCACCGAGAAGGTATCGACGCTTCAGCTCTAAGGCCCTTTTGGTGGCGATTCCTCCAGCCGATCGGGTTCTACTAAGAGGGTAGTCATGTGGGGGCGGCGGCGCGGGCGGGGGTGCTTCGGTGACCAGTATAGCAGGCGGAGAAGGCGCTGGGGCACATTCCTCGCGAGCAAACTCGCTATCTGTGGACACCTCGGTCGCAGATGAAACCTCCTCCTCGCTTGACTCACTCTCATCCTCCGACTCCACCTGTTTAAAATTGTGATATACTAATGTTCTAAAAAACGAATCGAGTCAATTCTACTAATATATTTGAAGCCCTTGAATAATGTAAAAATTTTGCTCTCGACCAAAGTGATACTGAGCGCTATACAAGTGCTAGAAATGTAAGGCCCCTAGGGTGCGCTAGTCGTATTCCACACTAACTTACCGTCTGTACGCTAGATTGCAGACTATTTACCTTTTATATATCTTATACATGTGATATATACATATAAATATAGTATCAATAAAACCCACACAACAACACGGTTATTTACATAAAATTACATATATGTATAATAATATATAAATATATACAGGACTGGTGCACATATAAAACATAATACTGTTAAAAGCGGTAGCACATATGGACACTAACACAAAAATAATAACTTTACTTAAATACATAGTAAGCGCCATAAATTTTAAAATAAATTTACTGTCTCATTTCAATTGAAATTGTAATTTCACAAAAATTTACTAAAATAAAATGTTAAAAATTTTAGCACTAATGTACATATTGTTTTGTTTAAAAATTATCTCACTGTTAAATGAGACTTTACAGAAACAGTAAATTTATATAGACGGATAGTTAGTGTGGGCAAACTACACTCTTACCACGCCTTTCGCCGCCGCCCCTGTTAAGCTAGCGTGATATACATGACGCATGCGTTATGCATTAATATCACATTTTTTAATAAGAAAAGTATTTAAAATTTCAATTTTAATTTACGTAACAGTAAAATGTTTCAAGAAAAAATATGCTTTATTCCTATTGTGTATATTTATACTGTTAATTTGAATTACTTGTAATATTGTATGATTTATACACTAATTGTGTCTTAGGAATCATAATGAACTATTCGAGATGTATAATGTAATGTGGTAATATTTTATAAAGTATATATTATTTTTTTTTTAAAAAACTTTAATATTATATTTATAATTTAATTAAATTAGTTGTGTGAAGGCTATCCCAGACATAGCTTCAAATACACTAATATCTACATAGACGTGATATATAGTACGTTTCTAGGATTGAAGTTTAGTGTTTTACTCACACTGAGCTTATAGTTTTTATAGACACATATTTACGCTAATATGTATTGGAATATATCGCACATCTAGTACACTATAGGAATATTTGAAAACTATCAAATTTTTAAAATTAGACTTTGAAGTTAATGCTTTAGAGTAGTATTTTCAAAGTTTGTAATAGAAATAGAAATAATCCTTATTCGAATATACTTAATGCAAGCACTTTTTAACAGCCACATTTTTTTTTATTCTACCATTCACGAACGAAGGCTCATCAGAAGAAGCAACTTGCAGGTGGCTCTTTTAAACAAACGTTCTAAATAAATTCACATCAAGAAGACAATCAACATTGAAACCGTTATGTGCTCAATCAAAATTATTAGTTAATCTCGAATTGTATTAGTCGTGCGATAAAAGTCTTCAAATCCGTTTTAAGTTTGAAGTTACTTATGAAGCTAGCCTGAAATATAAATGATTGAAATATTTGAAGCTATTTCTGAGGTTAGACTGATATATGAATGATTGGAATAGGTAGTATGCGGGGGGCGACGACTTTGGCGGCACGCGGCGCACCTCCCTACTGCGTCGCGCGACTGTCGGCCGGTAATCGCGCGACAGCCGCACGGCTACGCGACGACGCAGCCCGATACCTCACTGCTGTCGGTCGGCGGACGCGCGTCGGCCGGAACCTCTCGCCGACGAGCTTCCCGAGCTTCGCGCATACGCGAACATGACTCGTTACCGGACGATTCCGCGCCTATGGTATGTGTTTTGTGAGAATAGTATTTTACTTATGTTTAATTTCTTAATATTCGGGTTTAATATATATAGGTATGTATTATATTTATAATATTTCATATTCTATTACTTCTAAAAATTAAATTATAATATCAATAGGTTTATTGTTTATAGGCTTAATTCATTATAAATAAAATACTATTCATTATTTATATTGTTAAACGAGTCTTAACACCAATAATTTTATGCTAAATAACACCCTAGCCGTAGTTTCCACCTCGAGCGTGAGCAAAATCGATTGTCTATAAAGGTAAATAAATACCTTAATTTACCATACCATTTATCGAGTAAGTTAAGACTATAGGATATCTAACACCACGCCACAATCCCTTCCGATCGATTTCCTGTTTAATTCAAATGGGCATAATATCGTAATCGTGTTACGAGCCGGATAACAATATAAATAATTAATAATATTTTATTTTTAAGTAACTAATATAAAAATATATTATAATTTACACATTTAAAGTACTAGAATATCTACATTTATTTAAACAATCTTAAAAAAATGTATGTATTTAAATGAATATAAACAAACAATATCAAAAATTTGTAAGATACAGCACTTCTACAAAAAGCTTTCATACTATAAATGTACAAGAGAGAAACTGTAAAAAGTCTTTTGAATGAATTTCATCATTTCAGCCGCCAAACAGTTTACTTTGTAAACTATATTTCGATTGTAAAATTACGGGGTAATCAGCATATCATCTTAACCTTCAAGAATATCAACACATGAATGGTATTACGGATGTCACATACATAAATAAAATATAATGAATTCTGGCTTGACTAATCTACGTGATACTCACCATCGTCGGAATAATCATCGTAACCGAACGAGTCGTCGGAGAAGTACATGTGCTGGTGAGGACGATGATCGGCAAGCGCGGCCGGTTCAGGTGAGAGTCGTGCCTCGTTGTCGCTATCGGCTGCGTCCGTGTACTCATCCGAACTCGACTCCTCTTCATCACTGCGAATGAATACTTATATAGTAAGTTCATGTAGAATACAATCATCCGCGAAAGATATGTCACCGTCTGTTTCGCAAAGATGTCGACAGACAGAATAAAAGCACGATATTGGCTATAATGCTAAATCATTATTTTAGGAGGCGAAACATACTCAACAAAGTGACAGTACTTTGACAGGGCACCAGTGGAGGATAATAGAATGAGCATGTCGTCAGGTCAGTCAGCCCATCGATGGTAAATTCATCAGGAATTTATCACGAATTCTTTAGAATTATAATATTAATACTATCTTAAATTGCTTGTTCGATTATAGTTAATAACTCGACATGCCAGTAGATTGCCGGCTTTTCATGGTATATAAGTACACAAGACTTATAAAAGGCTTGCAACCATATCTTTTCTTACCTGATTCCCCCAGCGCATGATGTCTCCGATGCTAGGAAATTTCTATCCGTCCATTCATCCTCATCGATCTCCCGGGCTCCGCTGTCGGATAGCTCGAGGCTGATACGTTCTGGTGTCGGAGTGGGTATTTCGCTTCGAGTTTGGGAAGGCGCTGTTAGGGCTGCTGCTGCAGCCACAGCGTCGGGAACGCTGACACCAGAATGTCTCAAGCATACCAGACGACTACCGTATCGTTCCATCGTGTAATTCCTGTAAGTGAAAATAAAGCTAGTTAATATAATTACGTGGTATATTATGTGGTACATTTAATTACATATACTATTAATAGTTTAATTACATATACTCTTAGATCTCATTTAAAGTGTTTCATTAGAACATTTCCTGCTTATTTAAATAAAGAGACGTAAAAATATTATTATAGAAATCCAAACTCATTGCAAATAACTAGTTTATGCAATCGATTATAGAACGTAGTGAAATATTTTTGAAATATTATATTGTTATAGACGAAATAAAAGCTAGCTCTCCATATTAACTTTGAATTTCAGTCCTGACATGCACTTACCCTGGTCGCAGTACCGTTTTACAGACAGCACACCTGAAGCAGGCTCTATGCAAATGCAGGCCATCTGCGGTAACACCCTCAGCTGCAAACACTCTGGTACCGCATGCAGCACATTGCATACCGGCAAATGCGGGTCCTCGCCAACTTTTCTTACACTACAAGAACATAACCCTTCAGATTTATCGAATTATTATTGAACACTATAAAGTAAATGATTAAAAGTAAGTAATTTTAATTTACGAACATAAACAGAAAAACAAGCTTTTAAATTGTAACAGCAATAAAATATCCGTAGCTTTTCAATAATATCATTATAATAATAAAAAATAATGCTTTTATTTGAATATGTTAAAACAATAAGGAGATATGAATGTCCTAAATTAGTTGTATACGTGCCTCTTCCTTGGGTTGAGCTTTCGTATCCGGTTCGTCCTTTTTAACAAACTTGGTTGCAAGGTTAGCCACCTGCAAGAGATTCAAAGACACTGCATCATTATGTCTAGCTTTGTACCTTGTCACAGTAATAATTTAATAGTAAAATTTAGAAATTTCAATAAAACTAGTACGACGTAATGACTATAATGTAGGTATGTATTTTTTCATGTTATTTTGAAAATTAAAAACGATTTCGTCGTTATTGTAAATAAATAACGTATTCGTTCACTTTATTGTTTCTCATCCGATTACACTTGATTTAGGATCACATATTTTGGAAATAAGACATATATCTTTTATTTATTACTAACATAAGTAAAAAGTTAAGATTTCTGTATTTTAAAATTCTTTTAGTTTTGGATACCCCATTTCATTTTAATGTTCCTTCTTAGGAAGCCTATATATCTTTGCACTGTTTTACGATATTTTTTACTTATTTAAATAAATAATTAATATTGAATATATAATAAAAACAACAATTTTCATTGTTACTTCGCTACTATGTATTGTAATGCTTATAAATTTTTATAACTATTAATAAATACATTCCACAATAGTTGGCGCTATTAAAAATTTCATAGTGGACCACATCATGAAATGTTACCATGGTCACCTAATTTGTAATATGATCAATTCTCGATTTGATTACAATATACACATATTTATAAACAAATCAGCATGTTGCAAGCATTATTTATAATAGTTTCTTCATGTTAATTAGATAAGTGTCAGACCTTTTTGGTACCATGATCCGGCCGACCCGAGTCACGTAACTTTTGGCCGAGCTTGTTCAGGGTTTCGTCTATTTCGCCCCATTTTTCTTCGTTCTCACCCTCTTTCAGGCGCCTTTGACGACCCAGGAACTATAATATAAAAACCAAATAAAAATACCCATGATTATTCTGTTAAGATCAATAAAGTGTTAACTCCTTTTTTACATTATTTATAAAAGATTTTGGTATATTTTTTTTGTTCTAAGAGTGTACTAAATTTTAACCATATGTTAGCCCACTATTAAACTAAACACTAATAATTATTAGAAATCTGATTTGTGCAGAATTTAATTGTTATATTTTAAGTTACTAAATTGGAACTCGAAATTCTCAGAGAAGTGTTTTAAAAGATAATAACATCACAATATATATAAGAGAAACTATTTTATTGTAATTTTTTTTTGAGATATTTTTTTTTGCTTAATTTTACTTTGGATAAGTGAAGATAACTTTAGACACGGTGATTGTTACAAACCTGTTCCCTGTCCCACTTGGGTACTTTTTCAGCGGTCTTGGGTTCGGGCCTGCCAAGCCTGTTCTCCATGATCTTTCTCTCTATCTCCTTCACATTCCAGTCGTCCCGCTCAATTTTCCCTACAGATCTCATCAAGTCCTTTGGCTTAGACGACCGTGGTGCTGCTGCCGTGGGTGCAGTAGTGCCTGATAACTCCGCAGCCAGCTTCGCTACACGTGCGCCTCCACTGCCACCAGTTCGTCCTCCGCCCCCCACAATCCTACCCTCCTCCTAAACACCAAAAAATAAGATTAGTTACACATAAAAAAAAATTAAATCACGTGGAGTTCAAGCGCGTGACTTTTTAAACTTAAGAAGCATTTGTACACTATTTACATTTCCACGACTTGGTGCTTCCAACCAGGACAATATACAGCTTTGCTCAAATCACACGTGTTATGTCACACATTATTGTAAAATAAAAGTTGGTCTTGATCTTTTTGTTTATTAAGAAAGTAAATGTTAATCAAACAGAGTGAATTACAAATAAAACAAAAAATAATAATGTGTCAGTTAATTCGGATAGATATTAAGTTTTAATTCATGCACACACGAAATCTTTATTAAATAGATGATAGTCCACAGAGACGACGAATCTGTTAACATTAAACCGTGCATTACAATCACACATCGATATTGTACTATCGGCCCAAGGTCATCAACCCGAGGGCTGGCCCGAAGAGAGCAAACGTTAGTGCATGCAACACACTACGTCAATCGCATCTCACGTAGTGTTGCAACTGCTTCTCGAGTTTGCGAACGCGCTCGCCAAAGTGCGGCGCGCTCGCACGGTACTGTTGTAGCCCATAGTCATTCTCGAGGTCAGCTGAAGGCACAAAGTCTGGCCTCGGCTCGGAAGCTAACATCTGAAGGCTCTTCTCGAATCGCTGACGCATGATCTCCCGAGCTGCCTTTCTTCTACCGCCAACTTTCGGTCGTTTTGCTTCGGCGTTTTTCTTCTGCATCATATCTGACATTCTTTGCATCCTAAACGCCATGTCTCCAGAGTTTCTACGTTGCGGTGGTTCCAACTTTCGAGGCTTTTGACCTTGAATCAAATCAACTACTCGTTGCTTCCGCAGCGCCATTTCAGGGTTGCCGATAGATTCAGATCGTTTAGTCCGGTCCGGACTCGGAGTGTCACGTCTTTTGCCTTCTATTATTTCAGCCATACGTTGCATTCTCAATGCCATCTCAGGGTTGCCAACCGATCCAGATCTTGCTGTTCGAGACTCAGGACTCAAGGTATGCCTTCTTTTTTGGCCTTCGAATATTTGAGCAATACGTCTTGTATTGTGGAGATTAACCATTTCAGGAGATTCGATGGAATTCGAACGTTCATGTATTAAATGTTCAGAATGTTCAGGGCTTTGCGAGTGTCTTCGCTTATGACCGTCAATCACATCGGATAATCGCCTACCTTTCAGCGGGAGAACGCTATCTATCGAAGCATATCGCACAAACTCTTTCTTTTTAGGGCTCGCACTAGACGATTTTACAAATTCTTTCTTTTTAAATATCTTGTCATTCACCAAAGTAACATCCGTATCCACCGAATCGTTTTGAAATATATCAGAGAAGTCTGGAACTTTAATCGACGATGCATCTAATCCTTTCAATCTTCGTGGTGGTTTTATAGGTTTCTCTGTCTTTCTTTCTAGAAAATAGTGAGACAACTTGGAATCGTTTTCTTTCGGTATAACTCTAGTCCTCGTGCTACCCTGTAAGAGTTGAGCTAAAGAGTCCCTCAGTATTTTTGGGTCCGGCGACTCTTCAGGATCTAGTAGTGCCAATATCTGTTCTTGGAGATCTTTCTGCTTGTCATCACGGCTTTCCCCGTCGATTGCATCATGGCCCTCAATTAGCCGCGCTAACTGTGTAATATCATTTAGATCTAATTTTCCAATCTTTTTGCGTATGTACTCTGCTGGATCGTTACTTACTTGGGGTGTGCGGACGGAACGACGCTTCTTTCTGTAGCTCGAGTGTGATTTCTCTGTCTCGGCTGCATCTGTATAAAAATATTTATGTGGTCTATTATCATTTGATACATAATTGTAATACCTATAAAAACAATTAAATGAATTACCTATATGACGGTTTGTACGTGGCAACTTTGAAAATATTCAACCATATTGTTTAAATATTACTCTAAACAGCAATGCCTTTTATCGCTAGTACTGTGTAAATAGGAAATAGAATAGAATAGAAAATCATTTATTCAAATAAACTTACATTGAAGCACTTTTGAATAGTCATTACATTTTTTTTAATCTACCGCTCGTTCGGAAAGCTGTCTCATCACAAGAAGAACGAGCAAGAAACTTGCGTGTTGCTCTTTTAAATAATTTTATTATTACTTTACATTTTTAAGTTTAAGTGTGTGAATACAAACCACCAATTATAATTCTATTATAACTAATTCAATTAAATACTCAAAAAGAAAAAATATTGAATACATAACCAACTGGTTAAACATTTAATAAGAGGAAATCAGTCATAGTGATTAGAGCAGACCAGTCCCTACAAGCAGCACCCGTTCACGAGTATGACGGATGAGCCAGCCATCACTGCGCTCGACCATATTTTAGGGAGCCCAATGACCCGGAAAATAGAGAATAAATGGTAAAATTTGTAGTTCAAAAGATAATTATTCGAATACAATATATAACAATATGAATTTAGATAATTGAAGCCATTATCTGTATTCAATATTATAGTTAACTATGTGTAATTGCAAATTATTTGTTGTATTTCTGTTTAAATCTTAAACAACTAATTTTGATGTAAAGACTCGCTAAGATTGCATATTTAATATGCCACTTAAAAAACAATTTTTAAACAAAAATATTGAAAAATGAAACTTACATTACGTTAACGACCTCGGAGGTCTAACGATGTTGAATACTACCTACCTACTCATCAGTAGGTCACGAGTTTGATTCCTCGTACGGTACAAAATTTATATTCATGAGTATGACTGTTTGTATTCGTGTGAGGGTTTTTATATATATTATTATGTATCCATTTACAAAAAATGTATTTAAGTATTTATATCGGTTCTTCAGTACACAGCACTCTGCTTAGCTTAGGACTACTTTTTTTATTATTATCACTTGTTATATAAAAAATAATGAGGCATTATTAGAATAAGACTCACTAGAATAAACTGAAAGGGAATGATCTGCAGTATTTCGTATATGTTTTTCTTTCTGCTGATTCTGCTTAATCTGGAAAACAATGAATAAAAATTCGCCATCTACAACAGATTAATAAAAAAAATCGAGCTGTCTGGACAATATCGGCAGACAACCACATCTTTTTCACTCCAGTGAAGCCACGAATTAGTTTTAAACACTCTTAAATTATGAGTAGTGACACATGGATATTTTTGGTTACACAATATGAAATATGCATTAATAAAACCATCAAAAGGACACTTAAAATAAGTATAATAGTAAAGAAATATATTATATTTTAGTACTCCGAAATAGCAGCGTATGTAGGATAGTATGGTCATAAATAAACGCGATGGTGAATGCAGATCATCAGGTGAGACGTCACCTTATTGCTATTCCAGTAAACATATAAAAATACATACAACCTAAAATTTTCACACTTCTATCACCAACCCCTATTCTTTATTTTAATTTCATATACTGTTTAATGTTTTAAGTCAAAAATCTAAATTTCCATTCATTGATGAGGTTTAAACAATGCATAATAAATTGTATGCATTGCATAGACGGACATTTACAATGACAATATTATTCAACAACTCCGATATTTCGGTGCTGATACAAACATCCTGGTCATGGGTCAACTAGAGTTTGCATTCAATGTAAACAATTATTGCGAACAAATCTGTCTATCCATTTTCTTTCTCTTTTTCTAGGTCATCTTTTCGAAGAAAATGTAGATTTACATTTATTTGTAAGTCTACAAAAACACGAAAACTATAATAACCGTACTCTATATTGAAATTTTAGTATATGTAAGGGAACCCTGAACACAATTTATTTTGTGTCATGAAATTCCATCAAGTTTTCGACTATGGCAAACTTGAGTACAATATTGTCCTTTACTTTGATACGCTTCCTAATAAGACACGATATAGATCGCTTATAGGAACTGCTTCAGGTGCAATCTGTAGAAGTCTGCTTGCTTGTACTCTTATAAGAGCGTCAAAATAACAGGAGCTCTTAAATAATATTATCATAATAAACATCTCGTATAGATAATGTGTACCTATAGAATAAATATTTATAAACCTATAGAACATAGTTTTTTCGTCAACTGATGATGGACAGAAGCGCCAAATACCTGATCAAACACGTCTGTATGATGATGTACATGGGGTACTTCTCCTTTAAACGCGTTGTAGACTCTCCAGAGGTATGAACGGATTTTAGCGTCTGGTACGTCCCTTACAGAACCACTCGAACACAATGGAGTTATGCCTGGAATTAATTCAATGATTTACTTATAATTTTATAACAATTTACAGTATGATAATATGATACAAATAAATCATTATAAGTATAATTGTTGGCAATGGCATGTGTAAACCATAGAGAGGAAGCTTTTATCGTCAGACTCATGCTGTATGATATTTATGAGATTATGTCAATTATCTTTTACAAATATTTTGATTTTGGCTAAAGGTAGCCGTTGTTCAGAGTTATTTACGCGGGTACATATTCCAGTAACCAATCAGATTGCTTTGTGTTTCGCACTAAAGGTAAGGTAGTGAAATCACAGGTTACATGGGCATGACATAAACTCCTTAACGGCAACGCATGATTGGTACCATGGGAGTCGCATGATGCGTTAATGTCTGTTATGTTGATCATATATATGGGCGACAGTTAACAGTTACGATTGGATTGATTTGGCAATCTTGTTTGCTATTACAAATATATAAAAAATGTAGATAAGGAAATCTAAAAGAATGAATATTATAGAAATAGTACAAAAATAGTACTTGCTATGTACTCTTATTGTACTACATACTACAAAGCATGTAATTCCTCCTAGACAACCTTTGGACAAAAGAGATAATTAATAATACTTGTGAAAACAATCAGCAACAAGGTACAACACACTGCTCCATTTAAATAAGTAATTAAGTAGATCTACTTATTGTTTTTACACTTGTTAGTTACTTCATAGATATAAACTGAATCACTTAAGTAAGAAATAATACAGAATTCTAAGCTACTTAGTAATTCAGGGAATCCTATAGAGGATGTTTTGTGATAGTATAGAATATATTGTGGTATTGGTAAACTAAAATGTTCAACTTACCGAACTCGTGCTGTAGTACGTGGTAGACGGACCGTGGCGCCGTGGTAGCTGGCAGAAGATCAGGTCGATACCGACGAAGCAATGCTGCCAATGCAGGAGGACTGGCCGCTGCACGGAGTCCACCTTCAGACCATCCCACCCATGACACGAGCACTTCCTCCGATACCTCTGATTCTATCAAAATGAATTAGGTGTAAGTAGACGATCCGCGATCACTCAAAAGTCGACTACAACCTCCTTCCACGCTAAAAAGAACACCTACTAATATTAGATTTATAGATTTCTAAATGAATTAGAAAAATTATACAATGCAAAGTGGAAAAGAAATTTCATTTCTAGACTTTATTTATTAAAAAATTACAAACATTAACTACCTAGTAGTACCTTGGTCACAAGAATTGCAAAGTGCTATTTAGATATATAATAAATGGATGAACTACAATTAATGGATAAACAAAAGTACTAACCTCTCCGTCTTTTTCTGACTGTGGCAACGGCGTCTAGCGGCAGGGGGTCATCTGAATCGTAGAATGACGTAACACGATGAGGGGTCACAGCCGTCCTGTTAAGGTTGGGGTATCTTGTGCCCGGGTCAAGGGTGTAAGCGCCGAAGTCACGGTGCAGATTCTCAGGTGTCGTTTGAGCTAGAAATTTTAACATTAAATATAATACATCAATAATGGAGGGAAGGGGATTGTTAGTAGTATCAATTAATAACCCTTTTGTTGGCAATTTGACCTCCAAGCGATTTCCCCTGGAAACCATCATATTTAATTTCTGAAGAATTTGCCACGATAGGGTAACAAACCTAACCTCATACACGTCTTATCATCCTCCACTAGTGCCCGGCCAGTGTATACCGTTAGCACAGGCGAATGTAGATTTGCTATAAATATAGATTTATAGCTTGTATAATTTATTACGTAAACTTAATTCAACTCAAGTATTTATGAATTGTGTATTAGATATTTCAGTTAACTGTAATATCCTAAATAGAGATTGGTATTAGATGAAATCTGTAATAATTACTAACAGATTAAACTTGGTAGCAAACTGATTTCGTAACATTTGCGATACGCAATGCGGAGTTATCGTTGATTGGAAGTAATTACATATTTACATTTTATTTTCTTTATAGTTATATATTATTATACACAATATATTCTTTTTCGTTGGTCACAATCCAAATGGTACATATTTTACAATCACGATTCAATGTAATTGTGACTAGAGAGTTTCCTCTACAACAACTATAATTAAAATACTTAGTAATTGTAATAAATGTGTATTATTCTTAAGAGGGCTCTTAGAAAAAAAAGGTCAAAAGTGACATATAAAAAACAAATACTAAAACAATACTAAATTTATAAAAAGGTTAGTGGCAGCCAAGCTGCCAGCCACATAATACACATAATACCCAACTACTGATAAAAATCACATTTGAAATTAAGTTCAATATTTTTTGACAAACCAAATTCAGCTTTACTTAGATACGTCATTTGTGTGTAACTCCGTAAGTTAGAAAGAACATTTTTAATGTGCTACTATCAGCTTGTTTGTCAATCCTATTACAATAGTAGCTGTCATCTATATACATGAACAGAACTACAAAGATCTCGTTTCCACATGGCCCTTGATAATATGTATTTTATGCTGTAATTTTTCTGTCTAAATGGAGTACATTGAGGTACCAATTTATAGTTTTTATAGTCTATCTTTTAGTATATGAAATCTTCATTAGGTTTACACATTATTCCTCCTCTCTCCTTGACTTCAGTCATCAATTTCTTTCCACGGGACACAAAACTATACTAACCCAATAATCTATAAATAGATTCTCTTTCAGCAATCACATCTAGTGGATGCGGTGGAGGCCCTTGTCCCCAAGACCTGACTGTCCACGCCGCGTCTAAAGCCGATAGAAAACCACGCGCGCAGCCTGAGCCGGTTGGCCAGAACGGTTCGAGGAGACTGTCTCCAACCAACTGGCAGAGTAAACGGCGCCCGTGTCTCTCGTACACCTGCATAAAAGAGGTACAATCTCTTTATAATAATAATAAGTCAATAGTCTCAATATGGCACTAAAAAAATAAAAATGACTACACTTTAAAAAGGATAAATACCAAAACATTCAGTAATATTTACTAAAAAATTGTGACGGAAGAGAAAAGAATTTGTGACTATTTTTTTATTTCCTATGTTTTCTCATCTTGCAGTAAGGCAATCCAGGTTCATTCCAAGATACGTCACTATATCTCTTTGGAGAGAATTTTACTATCCAGTATTACTTTAGGGCAATTTCCTTATAACAAACTATCACATGAAGGTATGTGAATGCACTGGAAACCATCCTCCATTTTTAAAGCCACTGGTCGATATCATTAAGACCATTTTGTAAAGCTTGTGATGTTTGGTTGGGGCATGTATTGCTAAACCTGCAGTGTCATCATCTTACGTAGCTATAGTTAGGTTCTCGCATGGTGGTAAGTTTGATAGGTAGATGTTATAGAATACTGGGCCGAACCAAATCCCTTTCCACTCCATATACAGATTCCCTGCCAATATTTGATGGAATTTAAATCTGTGATCTCTTTCTTTAGCCAGAACTATCCTACGCAATAAATAAGACTCCAAATAAGTATGAGGTAAACACGATTTGATCAAATGTCAAGAAAAACTGATGAGACATACTCATTCTATTCAAATGACTTTGTATCACATATCCTGTGCACCTGCTCCATTGTTTCATGTTTCACATATAGATATGTATATATATGTCACGATTATAATACGATCGATATAACGATCTGGGAATACTACCGGATACCGTTTTACTTTTGTTACTTTTTTAAATTTACCCCAAATAGTATTTATCATCAATAATTTTACATAAATTAAAATGAAATTATTTATTTCTATTATCTAGATAATATAAGACAGCTACGGCGGGTTAGTGGGTTAGTGTTTTCAATGTACATTATGTAAGTATTTACTAACAAAAATGTATCAAGTATTTATATTAGTTGTCTAGTACCTATCACACAAGCTCTGCTTAGCTTGGGATTAGACAGTGGTGTGTATATTGTTATGGGTTAATATTAATATTAAATTTATATAATAATTTTATTACAAGCCTTCCGTTGGTTCAGTCACTACTAGATTTTTGTTATTTTTTAACAATTGACTTACAATGCTAGCGTTTTCAGCAGCATACATGGACGTGAAGTCAAACAGCGCCACGTCGGGCTCCCCGTAGTGGTTGAGGGCGAAGTCCCTTAGCGGCAGACGACCGTCGGTCGAGAACCTGGCCGCCTCTTGTGCATAACGCATCAACGCCGCCCGGTCTACGTTCTCGACGCTCAACAGTCGTGATACTTCCGTGTAATCCTGGTCATAATAAAATATTAACTTTTGGTATCCTGAATAGAAATAGTATAATTTTTATTCAAGTAAACTAAACTTTATTTTTATGTATTCAGTAACTTACTTATTCATAGTGCTGATTCAGCCAAGAAGAATAAGTAAGAAACCTCCTGTTCTGATTTAAATAAACATTATTGTGTTCAAAATTCAAATTCTAAGATTTTAGTGAATTCATAATAGTAAAATATTAAATACTTGGTTACGTAACAATATAAACCAGTCATAGTGATCAGAGTGTGCTGTCCTTAACTAGTAGTTCACGAGCATGCAAGGTTACGATATTTCAAATAGAATGTAAATAATTACTAACATTCAGCAGTACGCCCTTATCCAGGAGACTGTGCTTCTTGGCGGTCATTACAAAATAATGTGTGTCGTCTTTATAATACACTATATTCTCTAAGTCGATGCCAGTCATCTCATATAACTCTTTGAAAAACTTCTGATTAAATATAAATGCTACGCCGCTTATCTCCGGCACCTGTTGAGTTCAAAAATGATATATCAAAACTTACATAAAAATCTATACTAATATTATAAAGATGAAAAGTTCATTTGTTTGTTTGTAAGTACTAATCTCAGAAATTGAAAATTTCCTTTTTGTGTTGGATAGTTCATTTGTTGAGGAAGGGTTTAACCTATTTACGCTACGACCAATAGAATCGAAGCATAAGTGAAAAATGTTGCAAATATGGGGAAAATATTCATATTTGAGGGCTACCGTTTCGTTAATCACGCGAACGAAGTCGCGGACACAGCTAGTGGCATATAGTTAATTATATATATCACGATATAAATTATCATAGCTCACACTATCTTTAGCTATATATATTTTAAGTTAAGCAAAATATATACACTATATATATTTTGTTTAACAAACTGGAATCTATTGGTGTTAGAGGCGTGTCTCTTAATATATGTTCCGAAGCCACCTTGAAAACCGTACTCAATTTGTAAGAATTGATGGTTTCGAGAGCAGTGACGAATATATCAGCTATGGTGTTCCACAGGGTAGTGTCCTTGGGCCTACCTTATTTTTAATTTATATTAATGATCTTTGTAATATGAATATTCAGAATTGCAAACTATTACCTATGCTGACGATACAGTTCTCCTTGTTAGTGGACAGAATTCGATGGAAACTAAAGTACATTCAGAAAATGCCTTAAAAACTGTTATGAATTGGCTTTAAACAAATTATCTTACTCTTAACATTTCAAAAACAAAATTTATACCTTTTTTTTATTAACTTGACTTGTATCGTAAACATTGTAATTTCAAAAATAATGTATAATAATCATAGACCATCCTCCCTCTCTCTCACACACACATACACATTGGATATTAATAAAGTAAAACAAAAACTACTGTGTATATCACGCTAGTTTTCTAAGCTCCGCCCTCTAATAAGACTAAACTATACGACATTTTAAGGTTTACTATATTATATAAGATACATTACATAATGTAGACTATGCTAAACAAAGTATAATCTACTAACAATCGTTATTTCAGATCATATTGCAATAGCAAAAACCACCCTCTCCATAATAGTTTTTCTCATTTATGTAGATCCTCCACCCTTCGATCGATCCCCCTTCCAACGGGGATCGATATGACGACGGCCTGGGCCTGAGCCGAAGTTCGAACCCCTAGCGGTGCCCTAAGACTAATGTCGTATCCGTCTGGCGGGAGTTGGCCTTCAACCGCTCCATAAGTCCTTCCGTGAGTTTGGAGTGCTATATGCACTTGTTCCCTATCGTCCGATAAAGCTGTAATATAAAGCTAAAATTAGCTGTATACTAACCGAGGCCTCCTGCTCCGTGTGCCGATTGATGAAATTAGCAGTGATGGCCATAGCTAGTTTGCCACGAAACTCCTTACGCTTGAAGCCTTGCAAGGTGTTCCGTTTCCCGTCAGCGCCCAGCAACGCGTCGAACTCGTATTGTGACACTGGGTGTTCAGTAGGCGATACTCGCGCACGCCAACCCAATGCTGGGAACAATATTTTATATTACAATAGCAACTTTTTTATTAATTTTCCTATGCTGACCACTACATCTCATATATTACGCCACAAAATATGATCTTAAGTTGCCATTACTCATTGACTCCCAAAATTTTGTGGTATGGCTATAATGTATCCCAGTAGGGGTCATTGCTACTTCCACAACATGATTATCGGCGTTTTGCTTCATTATTTTGTTTTTATATTAAGAATTTTACTTACTTTCAGAATTTTCTGATTCTGTCGGCTCCAATAATTCTTCGAAACTTACACCTTCGTGAAACTCTACTCCCAACAATAGCGCTACCTGCAACATTCAGTATCTGTATCACTATGTTTTTCACACGTACCGCATAAAAAGCTAACATATAGTACTCATCATAGAAAGTATTAATTATTAAAGGTATGAAATGATACTGAGGGTAATAGGAGTAAGCCTTATAATACTAATAATAAATATTAATAATTCCTCTAGACTAGCTAAGAAGGCCCATCTATCAAAATATACTTTATTGAGACAAAATTTCTAACTAATATTAATTACACTAACAATTACAAACCTTGAGTAGTATACACTGTAATTGCCTAATGCTAATGTGGTCTATTGATCCAGCGCAAAACTTTCCAAAGAACTTCTTGGCTCCAAGTGCGCGCAGGTCCTGAATGACGAAAGGCCATAGATGCAGTACGTTATTACGAGACATGCGGTCACGTTTCTCGACCACAACCTGCAAAAAACATGGAATTATTATTATAGAAATATTGTGCATGGGTAAGTGCAGTATTACATAATAGATGGGCTCTAGTAGTAGAATGTGGGAAACGCGTTTGGTTTTTTCTTTGCGATTTCAATCTCACTCAACTTTACCTCTGTGTAATATTATATTATTTTATCTAGAAAAATATTTTATATAAATCTGATATTGTCCTTTTTTCTCATTTGTTACTACTTTCCCTTGTCGATAAATTTCCTATTTATTCCCAAAAAAACGATTTCCCATATTAAACAAATACATATAATGCAGCCTAATCATATCCAAATATCATTCATATATAATGACATTTTAGCAATGATAGTGTGATTGAAAAAATATAATAAAGCGTAACCAGTACCAATGATTCTACACTAACCCAAATTCTCAACAAAGCTACAAATAAGTACTTAGAGGATACCAGCGAAGCTAAAAGTATTTAACTAAAACTTGGTCTACTAAATTGTAGACAGAAAATAGGAACTAAATTAACATTGAAAAAGAAATTTAAAGACAGAATAACAAAAAATACAATTTAAAATATATTTTTAAAAATATGTACATATAATTTTAATATATTCATATACTAAAAAACAACTGAAATTCACTGAATCAATTCGAAAGCTGCAATCTAACTATTTCTGAATCATCGAATCTCTAAATGCTAGAATATACAAGATATTTTTTACACATTGAAATTCGAATTAAAAATCTATTTACTCACTTAAGACTTTTTAGTCAAGTTTGTTGTAGTAATCTTTTTTCACCATTCTATGGTAGGAGAAAAAATATAGAGTTCACACTACTCACCACTTTGGCACCAAGCAACTGGCATTCTATAGCTGCTCGAAGACCACAGGGTCCCGCCCCGATGATGAGTACTTTGTTGGAGGTGCACGCCCGGCCCTTGCCGTATACTTTGTGGTTAGCACGAGCATCGAACTTCTTGAACAGGGCCTGCGCTTTCCACGAGCTAGCCAGTTTCGCCTGCAAAGAAACGGGCCATTTTTTAATTCTTAGTATGGATATTAGAATAGAATGATTATCGTTAACCATGAGGGGAACGAATTAAAATAGGGACAGAAAGCGTCCGGAACCTCGAATTACCACACCTGTTTGGATTAGCGGTGTGTTTAGCTAGGTATTTCCTGGATAGAGCGGGACATTTGTGCTGCATAACCACACGTGATCATGAAGCATGTGCTACCATTTATACATTTACATCCAGCGTCATCATAATTACTCACTGTGTCAAAATAATTAAATCGTCGAGAGATGATGTAAATATAAGGAATATAATAAATGTTGCTTAGTTATGAACAGCATGATGAATACTGACGACCATGATAAATATAAATAATGATGATAATAATGTGTAACTATGTAACTATACTGATATTGGCAATAAATGGATTTATTATTATTATATCATGTGTTCCATGTCATCAATCACTGAAGAGTACAGACTCTCAAGGTTTTTTTATAACCAGTGTATCCTAACGTCCTATTATATATGATGTCCAACAATATTTGCTGCAAAAGACATACTTCTATCTACCTACATAGGCGAAGTCTGCGACTTTCCGTCATATGGGCTGTAGGCTTGTTGAATATTCCAATGATTGTAAAAAAAAATAGTTCATAAAAAGACACTGCCAGCACGGTCTGGCGTTTGGGACTATAGTATAAGGGATGATAAGTGCGTGCTCTTTTTATTTTAATGGTTTTTAGTAGTATTACGAATCCTAGGTATTTATAGCCCTGCTGGATTAGCGGTATAGCACTCAGTTCGATTCCTCATATGATACAAATATTTTTATTCATGAGTATTTTCGTCAGTTATGGTCTGGGTATTTTCTATCTATATTAAGTACGGTAAATACTAATATATATATATATAAGTAATAAAATTATTACTTCTACTTCTATTAATATCCAGTTATTTCACTATGTTATGTGAACCTTCTGAAATCGATATTGCGGCAGAAATACTAGGAAATACTCTGCAAAAAGGTATTTTGATGCCGCCTTAGTATTAATACTTTAGGTAACTAAGACATTCTTTGTAACAAAGATTGTATACACAAACTTTCTTATCATTTTGCATTAATTAAAATTGTGCAGAGGCGGAGTCGGATAACGTATTCATAACTCGCTTATTGTATATACATTAAAAGTCATTTTTTAGAGATAAGAAGCGATAATAATTACAAAGTACTGCTCGGAATGGTCAAGTGCTGCATAATAGCACTTACATGTCATTACAGGTCTGCTATTTTCCATGCGTTTGTTAAACCAATTATCAACTGACCTTAATGATTCTCTTTACTACTCTATTACGATTGCATACAGTTGATATTTATTTACCTGGATTGGCATAAAAATTGTCAGGAAAGCCGATGGTAACTGCCAATTGTCGCCTATATACAAAACCATGGACATTACTTCATCATGCGTCGCCATTCTCAAGGACTATAATGTGTTATGTACTTTATACCTTGTAATTTCACTTTAGGAAGGCATTGGCGACTGGTGAGATCGCGAGAATGCGAGGGCCCATTCTGACGACTTTGTACAAAGTATACATCAGTCAAAGGGAAAAAACTATTCGTTTACATTATAATCAATTGTAACTGCATTCTATTTCGTATTATTTCTGATTGCACGATAGTTGAAAGCAAAAATGTAGCATTTTAGTAATCTGGTGTTTCAGGCGTCCATAGGCTACGGTAACCATTTACCATTAGATGGGCCGTATGCTTGATTGTCACCATCGTAGTATAAAAAATAGTTTTTTGGCTAAAAACGACAGTGTATGGTGTACATTATATTTTGTACTTTCGCCAATTGAGAATTAATATGATAAGTACTTATTTCTTTTTACCAATATTGAAATACTTTTTTCAAAGATTACACTATTTCATATCTATATCGACATATAGATAATGGCAAGTTCGGATATCGAATAGCATGTCTAACCTATAGACCAATCAGGAAGCAATCAGCATCTATATCAATTCGCAATAGTGTATTACTTTTTCATGATGCATTTCACGGAATAAATGAAATCTGTAGAGTGGCCTGCATTCCATAGAATGCAGGGGTGTCCGATAGTATTCCAAGGAATTCGCGTGTAGCCAATTGCGGTCCGCGGAATGCGATATATGTAGTTATAAAATCTCATATCTATAGATCTATATATATATAATAAAAACATTACTAATTTGTTGTTGTCTGTGACATGAAACATATACGTGAAAAACTATAACTATTTACTCTTTGTCTTGTTCGTTTACTGTACTTTCACTAATATTCTTAAAATTTTGTGTTTATTTTATATCAATTGGTATGCGAACCAAAAAGTAATGAATATAAAGTTGCAGGCTGACAATGAAAATAAACGCTTGCATTATCATTTAAGGTTTCGCTTATCAGTCTACAGACGAAGTGGCAGCATTGTGCAATTAAGTAAAGCTCGCATTTGAATAATAATTTGTTATAATATATACATATATGTATATTTCTTTTGACCACTCCTCAATGTATTTCATTCATCTTTTTTTATAGTTATCTAACAGATTATAGCAGTTTTACAGCACAAAAAATTTCACAGAAAATTGAGATATTTCATAAAGCTTTAGATCTATTTTATTTTTGCGATTATAACAATGTGTTCATTCATCAAGACAGGACGTCTGTCAGGCCAAGTAATTGTACTATAACACCATTCAGTGGTATGTGGCGAAGCAGTGAAATAGGCAAGTCGGCATCAGCTAATCAAAAGTAAAAGCATATTGTTTATAGTATACAAAATAAAGAATAATCACAAAAAAGTATTTTTGGATATCATTTTTATAACATGATACCCTGAACTTCATTCTGATGATATATGACGAGATAACCTAGCCCCGAACTCGACAATTACTCTTATCAATTCATTTACAAAGTAATTCCGAAATTTATTACGGATTTTAATTACTATAATTAGCACACAGAAACAATTAATTCTGTTATTAACAAGTAAATAAGATTAGGAAAACAGAAAGGAACTGAACTGTGACTATTTATAAAAATAAATACAAAACACTTGCTCACAACAATTATTTTACCTATTAGCGTAGGAGAATGCAGTATTCCATACGTAACAAATTAAAAAATATTCTGTTACGAATATTTCTAATTTTATTTTTCGATATATTTAGTGTATCTATACTAATATTATTAGTCAGAATGTGTTTTGTGTTTCTATATGTCTGTTTGTTATCTTTTCGCAAATAAACTGCTGAACGGATCTTAATTAAATTTTATAGGAACAAAATCTTCCCTCAAAAAATCACATATAAAGTTTAAGGTTAGCGCAGACGTAGTTGCGCACAACAGTTAAGGTACATTAAAAAATATTACCAGACCGTCTAATGAAATGTAATTCAATATACGACTATACATACTCAATTAACTTAAATCGACTGATAAATTTTTTCGCAACAACAATGCCGTAAATCTGATCTCATGTTATGAATTACATACAGGTTCATTGATGAAACACAACACTCAATCATTTCGCCGCATACTTAGAGAATATGAGATATTCGCAGATAAGATAACGTGTATCTTAAAAATATTTCAAGCACTTCTTTGGTCCTCAATAATAATTAGTTCGTAGTCGCGTATTATTTTGCAATATTCTTATTCTATGGGGTTACTTCTTAATTCGTGTTGGAGTATCATATTAATTTTGTGAGTGTTAAAGTTTGACCTTTTTTAAAATATTATTATATTTAACAAAGTGCTAATACGACGAACTATTTCTAGGTTTAAGTGAATTTACAGTCTTTAAAAGTAAAGACCAAAAATCACTGGGTTTTTATTTTGTAAATACACATATAATATAGAAGAAGAGAATCCAGAACAACACAAAAAATCATAATTAGATATACAAATGTTTGTACCATGCGAGAAATCGAACCCGCGGCCTTTGGAAGTAAGGCGGTTCGACAAACCACCAAAATCGTCAAAATAAAATAGCTTGGGAATAATCATTAATAATAAATTTTATAATTGAAATAAAGAACAAGTGCTATCACTAGCACTTGTTTTTTATTTTTCAATTATAAAATATACTCACAAATTTTATAACAACTATATAATGAATACAGTCGCTTGGCAAGTAATTACTTGACAAATTTAACTCTGAAGAATTGAATACAAGAATTAAGAGAATATTAAAAACGCTAAGCAATAAAATCGCAGGAGCATGAAACATGAAGCTAAAAGTCATAAAACAATTGTGAAAACAAGATATGTGATAGTACGTCACGAAGAGCAATCCCTGCATTCATGAATGGAATGGTCAACTAGTCCGCCTAATAGAAAGTGGTAAATGTCGCCATAGAAATTAATAGCTTTGTGACATTACAATACTAAGACTAATAGATCTACAACGACAATGTTTCTGTTAAAGAAATATCCCAGCATATACCATTGCACCCTTCAAGTTGTAGAGTTACATGAGGTGTAAGGATTCCGAAATTCCTGTATTTATACTGTTATATCTTATTCATCCAATCGGAACACGCCTTGCGAAACTGTACAGCAAAGTATTTGACTTTGCAGAAGTACCAAATGTTCATGTCAAAGGAAACTACGATAGAGATGATGTAGGCATTCATATGTTGCGTTGCCACTCACCATCAGGTATGTACTTGATTGTTACTGTCTTTTGCAGTATGTACAAATAATAATATAATAATAAGTCGGGAAAAGTAACAATTTTCTGTGACTACCTTGTAAGAGGCGTGTCGTGCAAACATTAAACACACCATTGTAAACTCGAACAAATTGAAATAAGTCTGAAAATGACTTGATAGAAGTGTAAATATACCTAACGTCATAATTATACCAGCAAAAAATTAAAATTCAATTACCACTCATTCATTTCATTTACCGCGCAATGTTCACATTAAGCTCATAACAATAAATAGTATAAAACTGTTTTCATCTATCTATTTCCCCGCTTATTTTTCTAAACGACGTAATGGAATGTACATGTAGAATACTTGCATATGGTGGGGCGTATTACATTTCATGCACAGAAAAAATAAATGCACCGAAGATACTAGCAGCCCTTCCTTCCCTTTTTGAATATCCATACCTTACCTTACCTTTCGGACAAAGTTCACGGACTTTAATTTTTCGGATACGGGGTTTTTAGCTTCTGAACTTTCCATGGGCCTAACGTCTCCACGACAAAAGGCACAAACCAATACGACGCATACAGATTCTCTTTAAAATTGCCGTCGGCATTACAAGCCATACCGTGCCAGGACGAGAGTGTGATCCAGATACACTTAGCGCCAATGTCCACACACATGGCATACCGCCAATGTATCCACTCACATGTAATACCACACCAAATATTCCTAGTTTCGGTGAGACCAGGATCATAACATCATGCTGTTTCCCATCTTCGCCGACAATGCCTCTTGGCTCCAATATTACCGGTATTTGTGTCGCCACCAAGCAATGTACTTATAATATAATTATGGCATAATGAGATATTCGACCAGCATTTCACATGCAAGAGAGATCATAGTGCCCTAAATCATCAACAGTAGCATCACAATTACAACGAAGAGGCTGGTTTATTTTAACACCCAGGCGCCCATCGTCAGTATAAGAGAACAATTACCTAGAAATATCTAGAATCCTTTCTGCTCCAGGCAGAAGACGAGCACAAGAATCAGTCCGTTTCACAGTGACTCTTGAGGTTCAACTGACTTTTTATCCAATTGTCTCTGCGAGAGACACGTATAGGCTCAGTAAACAAACATTCCAAATACCAAGCATTTACAGCCTCAGACATATCTCAAATCCTACGGAACCGGACAAATAAACCACAAAGAGAAATACAAGCATGAACAGAAGCCAAAACAACGAAAGAAAAACAGAAGAAACCTTTCTTACGCGTCCTCCCCATTTAACTTGTTTTGTATTATATTACAGAATTTGTGTTTGATCAAAGTAAATTAATATATATACATATTAAATACAATATATTTTTGATATATTATATATTACGGATTCATCAAATTGAAAAAGAAGACAGATTTAAATACGTAATTGAGAGACATGTTTAAATATAATAAAGATATCTTGAATAGGCACTGAAAAAGATATTATTATGTTAATAGTTGTCACCCCATTATTCTTTTACAATAGAGGTTGACGATATAAGATCAACTATTATGTGTATAAATAAATGTATAAAATGGTTATAAAAATGTAGAACAATACAAAAACGTTAAGAACCGTTCATGAAACGAGTTTTCATTATGCTTAAAGGGTCTAAACTTTGGTAACAGGGTTCTTACAAATTAGGTATGTTAAAACAAGTTTAGTGGTTTAAACGGTAAAAGTTTGAAGGCTGAGAATTTAATAAAATTGATTTCTTATAAACCGACAATAAAGCAATAGGTTCTAATGTAAACTGATGTTTATTTATATTGATTGATACTGATGTTTCTATAGTTTGATTTTGGTTTATTTGCATTAACATAAATATATTAATAAAACAAGAGCCAACTAAAAGTTAATGTATTGTTTCTTAAAATACTTCTGACTAGAATAGAGTGCCATAGCTGTTCAACACAAAATAATTGTAAGAAATTAGTTATGTTGAATACTCATTTTCAATTTTTATATCAAAGCAGTCACAAGTATCAAAGCATTCATCCTGCAATTCTGTTCTACTGAATATAGAAATATTCCACAGGTAACTACATATATTAAAATGTTTTCCATTCCCTAAATATAGTTCTAAACATCTTATGTTCTATTTCGGGTAGTGTTAATATATAACTCTCGACAAAAACTATTGGGTACAGCATTCCCGCCACTCTTCCAGCACCACGTCCGCATAACTTCAATGGCATTACGCCAATTGCAGATTGTGGAGGAATATTCATTCCTGCTGTATGAATACCTAATGTAATTTGATAGACGTGATACTCCACTATATATTTTGTAACTTATAATACATACTACGTGCACAGGGTCTATACTTAATATACTAATATAAATTTTATTGAATCTAGTTCTGTGCAAAAATCTAGATTCAATAATATAATTTACGCCAGATACTTGACATCTTGCTAACGTGATATAGGCACGTATTACAAGTACAAATGTTGCTAATCTAAAAGCACTATATTAAAGTTCATACTACAATCTAGAAATATAGTTCTCCCTTATAAAATAGTATTATGAAAAATCAGTTAAAATTTAATGTAAAATAATACTTTTAAAATTTAGCTAGCGGTGGCAAAAATAGAGAAAATTACTCTAATAAAAAAGATAACGCGTTACATTTATATGGAGTTGATTATTTATATGGAGTTGATTAATAAATCTTCTTTATAAAATAAATTGAAAATTATTAGTCATATAGTTGTCACATAGTCAGCTTAGTGATTCTAACTGAAATAGGTCACAGTCGGTCTCCACTCGACCGCATACCTCGCACAGCACTTCTAGCACATTGGCCCACCGACCGGGCGACCCAAGTTAATTATAACGAAAAGCGTTGTCAACCTACATCAATCAACAATTAGTGAAACCATTTAGTCATCAGGTGAATACAGCCTAACACCGGCATATGTCAGTCGTACTATGTCCTCTTATACTCAAGCATAATTACATATAATTAACTATAAATATCCCATATAGCGACGTTCAAAGCATCGCAGGCACATTTGCTTTTAAAAGTAATAGGTACTTATTTACTGCATATCTAATATAATAACCATTCCTAATTTTTTTTCCTTTAAATATGTTTTTCCTCTTTAGATTCATAAATATTTAAAGAAAAAAAATTGTATACAGTTGGCACTGTTATAATAACAGTGACACAGTTACAAATAGTCAACGCTTTAAGATTAGATCTGAACCGATTGATCTGAACGATTGCGATAGCTATTGTGAAAACTTCACATTTTCTGATCCAAAATATAAGAAATAGTATTCTAAAATACAAATGATTCAAACTCTATAACAATAACGTAAAGTATAATAAAAATGCGGATATTTTTTTCATATGACAACATTTTTTAATACGAAGTAACATTGCGAAAACAATTAAGATACCTATATGATTAATTTGGAAATCAATTTGGTAATTTAAAATCGGAACTCCAGTCTTATTTATTCGATGACCACAAAAACCACATGCCTTATGACTCCCTCGTATACCTAACAGTGGAGTTTTCTGCAATGTTTGTCGTCATTGTCCTATATACATTCGACCTGAGTCGAAATAGCAGACAAATACTGTCTACGAATGGTGTGGTTCTAAAGGTAATCTCAATATCAATATAGTCTCTATGAATTTTAGAATTTAATAGTGAGAACATAGACATCAGATTTCTTTACCACGAGTATAATGTTCGCCCTTTACATTCCTCGAATAGTCGATAATATTGGGGTAAGCCCAGACGACCTTGTGCAAGTCGTTGAGCACTCGGTACAACGTTTATCCATACCGTTGCTAAAATATTATTACTTTTCTAATTCGTACTTATATGGAATGTAATTTTAAGAATCGAAGTACATAAATGAAAAATGTTTCACCATTTGATATTATTAGATACAAATAGCATATTTCAAAACCTTCCAAATGCACATATTATGCTTATTTATATATATTTTAATAGCTCCGGCAGACGTTGTTTTGCCATATAAGTTAATAATTTAGTAGTAGTAGAGAGCAGTAGATTAATTAAAATTTCAGGACCCCATTTCGAGCTAAATATAATACTATATTATGATTTAAAATAAGTTAAATCGTAATATAGTATTATTTCGAATTATAAGTGGATTGCATTAATAGAATTTCTAACTGTCACCCAGGCATGTTAAAACAATTCAGTTTTACATTTAAAAATATTACATATGTTAGTTACTATGTGTAAATATTTTCGCTTATTTTTATATGTATCAACAAACCAGACTGTATTAGTCAAAATTGTAATTATTGAGTTTAATGCAACAGTTATCTCAACACGTACCTTCAGTTTGGGATAGAAATCAGGAAGTCGGGTGGGTTTGAGTGTGAGGGTGTTGCAGATCTCCCTGTGCAGCGCCAGGATTTGTTTCATGGTACCCGCCGAACAAAAGTGGTCGAACATTTCGGCGGCCAGCGCGCACTCCGGCGGTGTTACCTCAACACGCCCACCCCTGTTCATGTTGAGGCGCTAAAAAGAAAGAATTTTTTTTATGGTATTATGGTAGATATATAATATATTACAGTTATGATATACATATATATACCCACATATTAATTCGTGAAGCAATTTTTTCGTAAAAACACTTGTACTCCTTTTTACGAAAAATTAACGGACGGAGGAGTATTACATTTCGAACTGTTATAGCATACGACTACATAGATTAACAAAGCCTATGGATGGACAACAAAGTTATGGAACCTTAATAATGTTCAAACTTATAATTTAAATAAATTATAGTAATATAAGATAATAATATCTGTATGATAAAATATTTGCTGTTTAATTTTTTTAAATCGCCCAAACCAGAAAGCTTTTTTTATGTGTATTATGACGTTCAAAAGTCGTTTGATTTTTGAACTCCTTAATACACATAAAATAAGCAGAATGCGAATGATAATAATGGGTGCTAATAATAATACATGATATAGAATCTATCTATAAATACATATTCATACTCTGTAATCCTTGCCCAAATAATTGGAAACTAACTGTTTTTAATCATAAATAGATCCATTAGCTATGTACGAGAACAAAACCGTACACACACACTATTTGCGTGCAACATGACGTCACAAGGTTTCATTCATTCTATTTCCAGCATCCGTTCTTTATATCAGCGCTACATTTCCTATCTTTGTTAAATGCATATCCATGATAAACATTTGTTATTACGTTGGAATCTTCTATTTAAAGAACTATTTTTCTTGGCATTCTAATGTATAACTGACTTTCTTTTCTACGGCCTGAATATAACTGTTCGAATAGTTGCGCTTAACCTACCAGTTAAAAGTTATAATCAAAATCAGGAGAAAACTAAGATGTCATGCAATAAAATTATACGCAATGAAAATTAACGCATATTAAGCTTCTTTTTTAAACTGATCTATTATATATATAAAACTTCCTCTTGAATCACTCTATCTATTAAAAAAACCGCTTCAAAATCCGTTGCGTAGTTTTAAAGATTTAAGCGTACATAGGGACAGACAGCGAAAGCGACTTTGTTACTAAGTAATGAAGAAACGTTTACAGCCTCACAGTTTCACAAATACATACTTGTTTCAGTTAAAATTATGAGAGCGAAAGATATTTTTGTAAAATACTGCATTTGTAAACAAAGTAAGAGAAACAAAGAAATTGTATACAAAACCGCGCCAGCACGTGCGAGTTTGTTAAGCCGAGAGTATGACCTCGCTGTGTGTAAAGTACTGTTCTGCCGCATCTATTTTCACAGGACGTTTGTTCGGGAAGAAAAAAATAAGCTCATGTTGAATCTACACTCATGGTGGGCTGCTTTGCAATTCTATTTTAAATTTTGCATCCCTAAAGAGGCAAAACATAATGGTTTATACAAACTCAAAGGAATTGCCGTACCATGTTAATCTGTTTGATTTTCCATTTACCGTATTAGTCCATGATCTGTACCAATTTCATTTAAATCATTTACTGTTTTTTTCTTTAAAGAATAAGAAATATCTAATAGTATTTACCGTTATACGTACATATCAACACATATTTTGTTAAAATTAGTCTTGAAGAAGTTTTAATCTAAAGTAGAAATATAACCGACACTTAATTTTGTAACAAATTTAAAAAACAAAACAACTGCACCATTAATTAACGTTAGTTCTGTTCATTTGGGATTAGGCCTCAAAGTGACCTCTTAAATGAAATTTATACTCGAACATCCGGTCATCAACCGCAGACACTGCTAAGAAATAATTTATGTAGCACGGAAGGTAATAATCTATAATTGACAAATTTTATTTTTTAGTCGTCAAAATAGAGAATATATATAAGTCCGGTCACTCAAGCAGAGCGTAATTTTATAAGTATCAATTGAGTTAATATAAACCGTTCCACAAAAGGTCAATATTATCTCACGTCCTATAAAGGATTTTAATCTGAGTTAATACAAACATTAGTATCTATTATGTGTAAACAGAAATACAGTTTTCTGTACACTATCAGAATAACAAAATTATTGGAACCGTTCACGTTATTAAACTCTGTACCACTCAATATCTTAATGAAGCCAACTGTATAGTCTGCGCCGTAAAATAAAACAAGTTGTATTAACATGACATTTTTTAATATAGACGACCTTTGCAGTAAATATAAAACAGAGGATAAAAATAATTGTATCTTCTTTTATACCATAAGTTTATTATAAATATACCTACTTAAACACTTCGAGCGAGGTCAGTGCCTTCTACGTGAACCGGGAATATTTTGTCAGAAATAGCTGTAAATATATACATATGTGTAGAATAATAAACTGAAAGCAAGACGAGTCTTTTTATACATGTTTTTTTAACTTAGTAGATTTTCAAAAGGGCGAATATTATTTCATCTACATCTTATGCGTCATGCGACATTTTTGATATAGTTTTAGAACTAATTTAGTCCATTGCTAACGTGAGTTGTATACAAAAATTTTGAACAAATTTATACAATCGGTATTGTACGAAAACCTGAGTCAAGGGCAACCACACACGCAAGGTCAGTGAATTATGTAGTTAAATTTAATCGCAGTATAACAACAATATAATGCATCGTAAAGTATTGTTAAGATGTCAGTTTAGTTGTGCAGTTGTTAAAACGTGTTCATGCTTTTTGAGCATCTAATAATATGGTTTACACGTAACAACATAATATCATCGTTATTATGAAGGTACTATGGGTAGGAGGGGATTGTTAATAATAATAATCTCAGGACATTTCACATAGCGACATCTAGTTACGCTAGCTAAAGTCTGTGTTATGTGTATTAAATAACGGATACAAATAGATTATTTGGGTAAATACATACATATTACACATAGAAAACACCCAGACCGACACAAACAATCATAGTCACGAATACAAATGTTTGTGCCGTGCGAGGAATCGAACCCGCGAACAACGACAGTAAGGCGGTGTGTTATACCGCTAGACCACCGAGGCCGTAAATAATGACAACTACTTAATTCCAGATGAATTCGTCAAGATGGGCCAACAAAAACAAACGCACACCAGTGTATACCGTTAGCAGAGATGGGTACACCATTCCATTATTACCGAGATATAGGTAATAAATAAATAGGAACTCTCCGTCAAGGATAATGTCGCGACAATATCGTGGATGTGTTATGTAAATAGTAATTTACTGTACAATTTTATTACACGATATTGTTGTGGTACTCCACAAGTACACCAATTGCATAACTATTAATAGAATCGGTTGAGAATAATGTTTTGTTTTGACAAAAACTATATTAATATCTACAGCTGTATTGAAGAACAGGTGGACGTGACAAAAATCAATAAGATATTGTGATTTTTGACAGCCCCTTAATCTAAATAATTATTATAAATTAGCTATATAATCTGATAAACAAAAATAGATATTTTTAGCCGACTACAAAAGAAGGAGAAATTCAACATGCTGCTATTGAACAGATTTAGATGATACAACATATTCGAAATTGTAAAATTTAATTGTTCAAAATATATGTCCTTACTCACAATAAAGTTTTTTTTTATGAATGTCTACTTTTCATTAAAATCTATCAAACAAACAAGACACACCTCAACACACAAAAACATACACACTTAAACATAGGAATAAACTGAATCGATTTATACGAACAAATTCTGTTCTTCCTTAAAGGACAGTTGACTCTTCTTCCTATTTTAAAGTTATGTTACATGCAATAGGTATGTGAGATGCTACCCCAAAATAAACGTTGAAGAGTGCATGCAGGTTTTAATGCATAAATAGTGTATTAAATACTTATTTAATCTTAGTACAAAAATATACAGAATTTTACAATAAAGTTCTTAAATATATTAAAAACCGATACTGCAAATTCAAAAACAATAAATGCAAATTTTTAGTTACACTTCTGAGAATTTAAGATTATTTTTATATTTAATTGTCATTGTCAAAATTGTGTTATGATTAACAATCAATACAAACTAACAAAAATACTTACGTGTGTAAACTATATGTAAAATAAATATATCAAACGTCACTAAAACACACTTCACCTTATAAACATATGAATCACATGTGAGATAAATAATTTATCTTTGACCGATTACCATTAACTTTGTGTTTCAAGACGTCTGTTAATATTAAAATTAAATGTTAATTGCCATATTGTACAGTCGCTGTTCGCAGTGTTGTATCTAAAATTGTACTGCACTTTTGTTATGTATCCTAATCACAGCTTGGCCCAGAATACATTCGGCTTCGCGACCACCGCCGCGCTAGCAGTACTGTCCGGGGTTCTTTGTGACCGACATTAAAAGCGATAAGTAGGTACATGGTTATTCAGTTCATTTACTTACACATGTGGTTTAATTGAAGTCCTAATAGTCCGACAGTGTAGTAAAAATATAGATGTACAGATAATACATTAATTATATTATGACTAATATTTATAAAATAATAATACTGGCCGCAAGTTGTAGTGTCCGTAAAATAGTCTAAACAGTGTTCGTCATGGTTGTGACTACAAAGTAGACAAAATTAATTGATAGAGACAAATTTTAAAAAAAGGAGTACATATTTATTAACCTAATACCTAACTCATAGAAAAACATTGTGGCCAATTCAGAGTCAATTCGCAATTAATGTATTATAATATACAATATTTTATGAAAATTCATGAAATTTTCATGATTATGATTATTATAGTCCATGGATACTTGTCATATTAAGGACATGTCCTTTCAACAATGAAATCTTTATACGGTTTTAATATGAGCGCTCTTTGGGAAAATCGCAGTAGAGGATTAATGAAAAATATTTCCATTGACTATGCATTGTACACGACTATACTTATTATTTTATTTTATGGTATACATTACAAAAATATACCATAAAATAGTATTTACAAAAGCCGTAGGTCTCACTATCTCCATTGTTTTACAGAAAAATTTTGGACATACATCACTTTTACCAGCAAATAATACAATGA